AGCATAATTTGAAGCTCCCCATGTGGAGCTTCCCCATCTCCAATTTATACTTAGAATTTATAACTGTTTCCGAAATACTTTTTACATCAACTGAAGATTAGTCACTCAATCACTGAACCTACCTATATAAAGCGATACTTTTGGAATGTTGTTTCATTCTTTGTAACGAAGTTCCAACTAAAACATTTGAAATGAAAATCGTCATTGCAATTCTTTTGATCGCTTGTGTTATCTCCGTTATCGAATCTCAGACAAATCCTGGTAGTTCATCAGGAGAATTGGATGATTTGGTATTGAGTGGACCTGGAGCTGAAATGATAGCTAATCAAGGAATTCAAAGTAATTTTTATTTGAATTTTGTGTGATTCAAACCAATAACTTTTACATTATTTTCATTCCAGAACGAGAAGCTTGCAATCGTGACGATGATAGTGATGATGATGACGATGATGACAGAAGAAGAAAATAAATTCCTGAATCTTGTCTCGACCACTCGCCTAATCGACATGGACAAATCAATTGAATTTTGCTTATTATTGCACTAATATCCAAAAAAGGAAAATAAAAGTTCACATGATTTTAAGAGCTCAACAAATATAAAAAACAATTTTGAATCTGATTCTATCGATGAGATGGTACTTTGATGATTTCGAGTATCTGATCATAAATATGAAAACTTTTCATTGCTTTTTATATATTTTATGAAAACTTTATCGGAGAAAGTTGAAGAAAGAATTGAATCTGACAACATTTTTATGTAAAATTTACGACTGTACAATGTATAAGCTCAAAAATGTTTTTGAACGAAGAAGTTTGGGAAATAATTGATGTAGAGTGGCGTCAAAATTCTTGAAGAGAGTGAGATTAATGTAGCAAATCCTCTGTCATTACAAATATTAATCGAAAATAAATTGGAAATCTGTTTTTGTTATTGAGGTCAAGGTAATTCAGTGTGATGATGATCTTAATAATTGAACATGTCACACAAGTATTTCGTTACTTGAAAACCTTTATCATTCCCGAAGGATTCTTTCACCAACCAACACACTTTCGTTACATTTTTTCCTCAATTCTCTTTCATTCAATGTTTATATTCGAAATTTTTTAAAAAGAATTATTACTGTTGAGGGTAAAATGAAGTGCTGGTATGAATCGACCCATGATGTCGGTGCGTGAAAGCATACGGTTCAACTCGTCTATGATTCCGAACCAGCGATAAATTTAATCTATTCCATTAAAGCTCGATAGATTTTTTTTTTGCTTTCCGTTCCATTTATGCGTTCGATGGTGAAAGCGGAAAGCGGAGTAAATAAATTTATATGCCATAAATTTTAGCGCTTCTATGAAGTCTCGAAGAACCGACATGAAGGTGCAAAACATTTTCAAACGCCTTCCTTTTGTGCTCATGAAATATAAACTGAAACTCTCTTTCTATCCTCGACTTTAACTTGAAAAATGAACAATGAACAGAACATGCTTTTTACACTTTTTTTTCTTTTATTATTGATGTCAATTATGTTGAGAATTTCAAAGGTTTCAGTTGGGCGTGAGGTGATAGAAAATTGTGAGAGAAAAATATGAAATTTCGACATTGTTTCAAACATAATTGATTAGTCGAAAGTTCTTAAATAAATAGCTGTTCAAAGTTTGAAAAAGGGGTTAACTATGATCTGATGAGTAATCAAATTTCTTTTTAAAAGTATTTCAAAGAATTTGCGGTGCTGGAAGTTATTTAGATATTTGAGTGACTTTTCGGCTGTTGGAAGATTGTTGGAGAGATTGTCTGTCGTGTTCCGAAAGCGAAGATTTGTCGATTAAACGTGCAACCATAGCTTATGCGTGGCACTTCTTTATGAGACGGGACGGTAATTTAGCTTTATTGGTAAAAAGTAATAAGGATAATGGCGCAAAAGATTTTTTTACTCTCGTTTTATGGAGTATCATGAAGTCAACACCAACAACGCAATTGCGACTTGATAACTCCTCAACAATATTTCAACATTTTCGGAACATTAATTTTCCGCTTTTTTTTTCGCGAAAGAAAAAAGATAAAAAATAAAAACGATTACGGAAATAAGAAAGCAAAGAGAAGAGGAAACGGAATATCTTTCTGTCGTTCGATGTTCTGTCGTACAAAGATAGGAAGACAGAGAAACCTTTTCATTTATTTTAATTGAAATAAATTCGGCTTCAATGGTTTGAAGGAAAGAATGGATCGATGAATTATCATTTGAAAGGATTTTCTCATCCACTCTACCACGTGCTCACCTTTCCACAATGATCTTGATGGGCGAGGTGAAGTGAAACGAAGTGGGAGTTGATCAATAAAAAGTTGTGACTCTTTAGAGGTGCTTTCGTATTCAAACTTTGTTTAGACGATGCGTACAATCGCTTGAACGTCCCCTAATAAAACCTACGCATTCAAATTTTCTTCTTAATTTCAATCGATATGGATGACATCAAAAAAAAACTGAAGTCTTCTAACAGCACGAACAGCTTCGATGAAGGTAAACATTGCCAACCTTTTCAGGCGTTGCAATAAAGCACGAGAAGAGGAATTTCAATGAGCGTATAAAAATAAAAATTTATTTTAATTCTTCTTGTTTTCATCTTCATTTTTATTACAAGAAATTTTTTTGCCTTCTTTTCTTTTTCATTTCGTTTTGATCGAATTTATACAACTTTGCCATCGTCCAGTAATGTCTCGCATTTTGTCAGGCTATTGACATTCGAATTCAATTATTTTTTTTCCAAGACGATTCCATAAATATTTAGTTGTGCTTAAATTTAAAGAAAAGTTTATATTTATGAATAATGTGAAAGCTTTTAATGAAGTTTAAAGCTTTTCTCAATGTCCTTAAAAGCTTTCAAAAAATCTTTTCGATTGACAAAAGCCTTAAGTTTGTCCTTCTGTTTTTTGTTTTTATAGTCGACAAAGACAATTTGAAGGAAGAAAATTGAAAATTCATAATGTTAATAAAATTTTAGTGTTAATTTATTCGTTCCGTGAGAGGCGGATGATGCTTAATAGAATATTCAAAATGCGATATCAAGTCAAGCGAAATGAAGGGATTAAGTGAAAGAAGATATTTACAAACTCTTATACAGACACTTCTCACTTACTGCACGTTGTAAAATAATAATCAAGTTTCCCTTTCGGTGCCGATAAAGTCTCTCGCATTCAAGCTAAGTCAACGAAGCAGATAAAGCAATTTAAAAGTATTTGGGATTTCCTTGAAGCCATAAAAGTATCCCGAACGAACACATAAGACTCTTGGAATGTGTTGAAAAAGAAGCGTCCAATAACAATACCGTTTTCACTTCTTTTTCTTACGTTTCTCTTTCATGGCTTGTGCGTGTGCGTCGTCAGTCAGTCATTCAGTCAAACAGCCAGTATATGGTTCAAGAAAGATGTTCCTACCAATTCATGAGAAAAATAAGAAAACGAAATGAAGATTAAGAAAAATTGAAGCTATGAGGATGGAATATATAACTGTAGTAAAAGAACCTATAATCATATATTCCTCGATGCATATTGACCTTCTCGTTAAGGATCGAGTGTTTTGAATGGAAACGAAAAAGCTAAAAGAAAAACTGACATTGAAACACTGCCCGAAGCAAATTGTTTGTCCATTTTCATCATCTCTGTTGTGGATAACTTACATACATATATAAGTAGATTTATAATAATAATAACAGAACAATTGTCTGACAACATAATAAAACATTGTTTCCTGTTAGCATTCATGCTTTTGTGAGCTCACTTTTGCCTTCCTTAGTCTTCTGCAAGAGATGAAATGTTATTTGTGGTTATTCCTTGGTTATTCGTACACACCCAACAATTCAGTTCATTAATTTCATATTTTCGCCAGTTAAGACTCTTACAAAGATAATTTATTACTTGGATTCGTATCAATATGTACACTTCAAGCAAAATAACTTAATGTTTAAGTTCTTTTGTCAAAACATATATTCACCATTATCATGTCTGATTTAAGTGTCTCCTTAACAATTATATCTCCAATGTTTATCGAAGCGTGCAATGTAAGTGATAGGCAAAGCAAAGAAAAAGCATAAATAAGAAAAAGAAGCACTTGTTGTGATGAGTTGTCTGAGAGAATCTTACTAGGTGACATCTCGTTAGAAAACAGAAATCAACTAATGAATGAAGCAAAATTTATTCATTTGTTTTTGTTTACATACATCACAAAACATTTTAAGCGACATTGTTTTTGTTTATTCGACTGTTTGTGGTTTGATTATTTCTGAAAATTTGTTGTAATGGAAAACTGATTACATTAAATGAATGATTTTTAAGGAAAAGTGTCAATTTATTACATTTGAAGTGACAGACGACAATTTCAAGAGTTTGAAAGAATTTTAACTTTAGAATTGTATTCCAACTATGCAAGTGAATGTCATTTGAATGAGTTTCATTAGAATTTCAATTAAAAGTTCTTCAAATTTTCATAGCAATAAATATTTTTAAAGAAAGAAAAGATTTTCATTCTCTGACCAGGATTGAATGTTTGCTTTTGTGAGTCACAAATTGTGACTGAATGAAGAGATGTTGAATTCATAAACAATCGAGTGTGTTTAGAAATTTCATCTTCATTCCTATTGATGGTTTTCTAGACATTAAGCATGTGATAATAATTATGATAGATCAGTCGATTTGTTTATGAATAATTTTCTGCATTTAAACTTTATCACGTGAAACTTTCTTTTGTGTTTTGTTGTCTTCAATAAATTAATGTTTGTCACATGTTTCATCAATCTCAAGAGAAGATCCTGCTTGTTGTTTCCTGTTTTTAAGAAAACTAGGAAATTTAGGAGACTCTTAGCTACTTTGACACGCAAAGAAATTTCTGCATTTAATATAACTAAACATGTTTAAAAATTCCCATCAACCTCAACTTTGTAATGAAAGGAAATTTTTCTTATCACATGCAAAAGCATTTTCTAATTTAAAATTTTCATCGTTTAGGTGAGTTTGGAAATTTGTTAGTTAAACCAGAATAAATTTGGCATCTTTTGTTGAATCACATTATCGTTTATTCGTGATTCAGTGATTAATAACTCATCTGGTGTTATTGTGAGGTAAAATGTGAATAATCTAGAAAGTTAATTAAATTAATTTTTATATCTATAATGTTCATGTTCATAGGAGTGTCACATCAAGTTTCTGTCTAAATTGAGCATCTACTGTTGTTAGTTGCTAGTTCATTCTATGAGAAACCATCCAGAAGAAAAGAACTGATAAGCTAAGATGAACACTTCGGATGGGCTTCGTTAGAATTTATTTTCTATACACAATTTTGACATTTTTTTATCGTTACCAAAATTTTCTTTAATAGAAGCTCAAAAGACGGAAAAGCCAAAGAGAATCATGGTTTGGGATATGATATTAACGCATTTTCTGACTATCGGCATGTCGGAAAAACCATTCAACCAAAAATATTATTTTTTCTACACACATAACAACATTCACAAAGGTTTTTATTTCTCTCTCACTCCTTCAACACAAAAAAAAAGAATTGAAATGAAAAAGCTCCGGTTTGGTTTCATGTCCTATCGAAAAATCCGAAACTTTTTCACTCCCCTTCTCTTTTACCCTGTTGGATTCAACTGCGAGATGGAAAATCGATTCATTTTGTTATTTTGAATAAACTTTGCTTTTGGCCCAAACCTTCTCTATGTCTCTGTTCTTCTCTCGTACTCCATCTCTCTCGCTTTTCATTCAGTCGTAGCTGAAGTTTGTTATGCACAGAGATCATGACAAATTGTGTGTATATAAACACGACTATAGATGCCAAATTACAAGCCAAATTAGATTGAAATTTTAAATTGAGTTTCGTACATGGATGGCTGAATACCTGAAATCATTGTTAAACTTTTGGGAAAGGAAAACATCATTTCCCTTTTCCATTATGAGACGTAAGTTTTAGTTGTGTTTTGTCTAAGTTTTAAACATTAATTGCGAATTTAGTGTAACAAAGTGATTTGAAAAGTTAGTTTGAAAATCAAATATCGTGTCAAAAATGTATTCATGATTATCACACTCACGATGGTACGCTACGTTGCTTCACACCCACGTTCTTCAACTCATTCTAATCGAAAACAAAGCAAATGAATGAGAGGGAAAAAAAATTCGTTCGACAATAAATATTGAGTGCTTTTAGCTCGCGCCTACGCGACAAGGAAAGGATGAAGTCAGAGCCGGTTGAATGAAGGCTATAAAATACAAACTAAATGAGATGGCTGAAATGCCATTTATTTTTAAATTAGTCCTATAATCAACCCTCCATTCTTTCGACATTTTTTCTTTCTTTTCCTTTCGTTAGTTGAGGAGGAGAAAAAAATCCAATTTTCTCTTCATGAAACGAGTGAATGAGTTGGAAAAGAAAGGAAAAAAAAAACATTTTTCCAAGTCATAGTTTTTAAAAGTTTTACAGTCTATTAATGTTACTGTCACTAGATTTAGTTTTCAAATTTCATATTCTCGTGTTTTCTCTTTCTTTTTTTTTGTTTTTCCTTTTTGCCATCATATCAAAAGTGTGAGTACAACACAGGAAGAATTTTAAATGCTTTTCCTAAAATCTAAGGATGTGCTGAAGTGGCAGAAACTTCAAAATTATAGAATGAATAAGAAGAAGAACAATGTGTAGGAGGAAAAATGATTCATTTGCTATTTGAAAAGGAAAAGAACAAAAATTAAAAACTTTAAATTCGCTTGTAGAGAAAAATTTCTCGAGCGCATCAACAGACGAGAAAGGAAGTTTTAATTTGGGTAATTTGCAATGAAGAAGAAACATTGAAGAGCGCTTTTCTGCTGCCTCATTTCGTTCAAGGATGTTTATAACCCACGCCTTCGTTTTTCGTCTACGCTCTTTTACTTTTCATTCACGATGAAAAGATAAATATTTCAAGCTCATTCACGCAAAAATGACAAAGTGCTCGAAAAGTGTTACAAAATGACGTGAAAAATTGACTTCTTAAAATTTTGATGATTCTGTAGAAATTCGCCACATATTCGAGTCGGTTTCCATGCCGTAGATGTTCTTCATCGTATGACAAGAAACGCCACACTCCTTTCGTACATTCGTAAGCAAGCAAGCATTGATACACATTGTATTGGGTTGAGGTTGGGTGATGAGGTTCCAGAAGAAGGGAAATTAAAATAATGTGGGTATTAAATCTCAGAATATTGTGAGTCTTATCAAAGATAATAAATGACTGGTCTTACCATTCCAAAAATGGTCGAAAGCATTACTTTTTCACAGCATAAATTATGCCCTGAGAACCCATGCTGAACAATCACTTTTGCATTAATCTATTTGTGGAAATGACCAGAAAAGAAAGAAAACGTATAAATACACATATACACGGGGTTATGATCATAAATTACGTCACATCTTGATATCTAATTTAATGCTTCTAACTTTTCTTTAATTAAATTATTCACCGACAATAAATTTGTAAAAATGTATTTAAAAGTTGTTAAGAGCAAACATCCCTAAGTGACATTATTAACAAAAATCTTCTTTTATAGCGAACGAAGAAACGAAATGAAATTCATTATGTTGAGTGATCAATCATTGGGGTTAGCAAAAGGCCGAAAACCAAATGGTTGGGAATAAAAGAGAGAAGCTCTCCATGGAGGCATTCTTCGTTCGTTTGGCAAATTGTGCCTATGAATCCTCCGCTGGTCAAAAGCAAGACTTAACTATTTCAACTTTTCACCCACAACTTTCGCATTTGCCTTCAAAACCATTATGAATGATATAATATCAACGGATGTGAGTGAGCATACTTAGATAGTTAGATATGAGTAAAATAAACAATCGTACCGGAATATTTTCGCCTATCGTTTCGTAGCGCATTTCAGGATGAGCATGATATAAACGCCAGTGGAAGTATTTAGACGGAATTGTATCATTCGTAAAATATTCATCGGAAAAGTTTTTAGCATTGAAATTAGCTCTCTGCATTGCTAATCTCACAGATTGTTTCATTTCCCCGTTCATTTTGAACACAAATTCAGCCTGGTTGTGTGCTATTGGATTTTTAGATGATGAGTACAACATCAGTGACGTCTCTGGCTGTTTAAATTCATAACATTGTAGCATGAAGTCTTGACCATATTTTAAATAATTGTAATCACTAACGTTGTCTGCGGTGATTTTAGTATTAGTCGCATCATTGACGTTATTTTGTCGTTGTTGTTGAGTTAAAGGCTTTCGAATGATAAAAGTATTACGAACAGCAGGTTGTGGCGATGGTGCACACGTAATTTCACAATGTTGATCGATTTCTTGGCAGCGATTAATGTGTGGTTCATTAACGACAACTGATAAAGCCCAAGGCACACCATTCGTTGTTGAATGGATATTTGGCATGTCGAAAGCAATTAGCTGAATAGCCTGGTCAAAGGATACATAAGTTGTTGGTGCTGAGAGTTGAACAGGAGCCAAAAATGTCTCGTAAACTCTTTTCGTTTGCTGCACAAGCAATTCACCACGTTCTCGCTTCTCAAGGAATTGTTTAACTTTTTCCTACATAATTTTAGTTTACATTTCAACAGTAGTGCAAAAAAAGGGTGGCGAGAACGGAAAAGAAAATTTCTGTTATAGATTGCAAAATAAAGAAGCAGTTTTCATCTCAATAAAACTTATCAGATATTTTATCATACAATCAGCAGCCATATTCAGATGAAAAGCTTCCATTTCAAGGCGTGATGAGGGTGGGAGGGGAAAGAAAAAAAGTATAAAAAAAGCAATGAGGGTAAAGATGGCAACATTTTAAAACGATAATTTTCCTATTAAGCTTACATCTTGCTGCAATTTTTCACTCGACCAGTTCCCAATGAGACATTTTGCGTTGTACTTCTTATCTTTTGCTTCCAATAATTCTTCATCTCTTCTAACTTTCTTCATGAATTGCACGATTTTATTAAAACGTCACGATAAAATATCTTCTAGAAATGAAATACTTTACAGAAAACAATTTTTCTTTCTCTTTATCAGATATTTGTTAAAAATGAAATAAAATTTCTTTTGTTGTTATTTTTGTGCTAGTGACAAGTTAAACAAATTAAGTGTAGTCAAGGTGTGCCATAATGTCAAAACAACCGGTTACTAGGAGTTGAGGAAAATCATATTTAATGCCTTTAAAACTGTTTGCCGTATATTTATTCCATTCAAGTTGATTATTATTTAGTGATTGATATTTGATACGATCTAAAATCTAGAAAAAAATTTGCATTTAATCTTCAGTTTTTAATCAACTTCACGTGACCATTCCACTCCCTCTAAATTTCATTTGTTTCAATCCCTGAAAGTTTCATTTCAGTTAATTGGATTCTATCCCGTAAATATAAAATTGACAAACAATTCGAACAAATATAAAAAAAATAGAAAGCTGCAGGTTTATGAACAATTTTTAATAAAAAATAAATCGAATGAAACTATTTCAGCCTAACGAATTTAAGCTTACCGAGAACCAAAATCACTTTTTTGGCTGGTAAGTCTCATTCCATTTCTCTTCACAAGTAATATATTTAAATATTCTATGAAATTGTGCACAGTTGTGGAGTAAGTTCTCGTGCCCTTTAGGGCCACCCACCAACATACTTTGTTCAGCATGATACAACGCTTGGTAGCGTATTGATTTAACAACAAATTTTCATTTTGATTGAATTTAAAATATGTATTTTTATTGAACTCCATGCGGAAGCGACGATGGTCGGTACCTCTCGTTACATTTTAGTTGCTATTTGCACTGAATAATATCAGCGAAATTCCCTCTCAATTCATACTCGTTATGTAAGTTTTACACTTGAATTGTTCTGCAATGCTGTCGTGATGTAGGGCGAGAAACATGAAAATTTCATTTCATGATTTTTTTTTTCTCTTTTCAATTTGTAATTTACGGAAAAAATCAGTTCTCTAGCTGTAGAAAGTCCAAAATAGTAGGGAAAATCATAATCCACATACATAATTTGACCTTTTTTCATTCACGTAGGCTATAGACGGAGGTTGAGCGACTCTTTTGTTAAATAACAATATACTCGACAATAGAATTTTAAGGATTCTACGAAAGAGATTTTTTTCCTTTCTTTTTCCCTCGACTCGAGAGCTCATCTCATCTTGTGAAATTTTCAATTCATTGTGATGTGACATCATGATGATATGGGATCGTCCTTTTTTTGTCGTCGAGACCGAAGCAAATCTTACCTTGACAATTTTCTGTAGCGCTTTTGTGTTCATCATCATTTGTATTTCGCTTCTTTTTCCTTTTCCTATCTATATCCCTCTCCCACTCCCTTTCTATCTCTCTCTTCCTCTGTGAAAAGCCATAATTCGTAACCATTATGATGTTGCAAAAAAAAAGTCCCCAAATGAGTGAGATTAGTTTGATGAATTTCTAACAAAAAAAAAAAAAAGAGAAATAATAATAACAAGAAGGAGAAGAAGAAAAAATCTCCTTTAGAAGAACCTTGAAAAAAAAAGTTGAAGGAAATTTTTCATGGCTCGCAGCTTTGGAAATATCAAAACGGGAAATGTATGATGGCTGGTGAATCATAAGATATTAAAATTTATTTCTTCTTCCCTCGAAAATCGCCTCTTCATTCAATGCTCGCCCTTCTTTAATACATTTATATGTAATTTTGAAGGTTTTTTTAGGTCAATACCAATCCCAGCGTAATATTATATTGTATCAAATTGAGTTAGCCTTAATCTGAAGTTTTATCGATGTTTCCTTATTCTTTCGGTAGCTTTAATTCCTTCCTTCATCGAATCAGTCAGTTGGGGAGATTTTCCTCTTTTTTTACGGGATAATGAGATGAAATCTGAGCGATAAAGAGATTACTTAAACAAGATATTTTGCACTTTTTAAAATAAATATCAAGAAAAAAGATGAAGAAAGGAATCATGATCTTCGTTAGGTACACAATTTACAGAATAATTACTCATTTAGCAAATAGCGATTAAATATTCTCTGAATCCCTCAAGGAATTATAAACTAATTTTAGAAATATTTCAGGTTTTTCATCGTTTATGAAAGTTTGCAACAAACTTTTATTTAGATAATGTAAATATAGAAATATGGAAAATGAAGTTTCAACACTGTTTCGATAACGTTCGTTATTAGGGCAGAAAGTTGAAAAGTTAAATTTTGTTCATCCTTCACAAAGCTATAGTCGAGAACTTTCAACTTGCATCAATTCGCCGTTTTAAAAGTTTCCATTCCGTCTTTTTACTCACGTTTGATGTCAAAAGTGGAGAAAGCTTTGAGGAAATGTTAATATTTATGTATTTGCTGTCTCAGCCCTCAACAAAAACTTTTCCAAGCAAACATATCAGTACACAAGAAATAAGAAAGTGATAAAAATGAAAAGAAATGAAACTCTTCGACGACAACAACGATGACATAAAGAACGATTGTATTGAATAAACATCAATAAAGAGAAGGAAAAAAAATGCAATAAGATCGTGGGGAAGAAGGAAAATCCATTAAAAAGTTGACTCTATTGAAGTAACGTCAGCGATTCGTACAACAAAAGCTGCTGATTTCTGGAGGATTCTTTTTCACACAAAAACATTTTTAATATCTCGAAATCGCAAAGCACAGAAGTGCATCTTCGATATTGAATAAAATATCGTTTTATTTAAAACTGTGCCACTGCCAATTGCCAGATTCTAAAAGTCTCCCGTAATATGCAATATGTACACATTTGTAATCTTTCTCCGTCCACCTTTTTCTACACATAAGGGAATATCGAACATCAAGCGCTCGTAATTGAGAGAGAAAATATTCATTCAGGTATAAAATCACTGTTAGTTATCCTTAATTCGAATCTCGAGAATGGTTTATTTCTCGGTATGTTTCAAGCCAAATTTCATCTGGCATTTCCAATTTGTGCCAACAAGAAACAGTTTTTTCCTTTTTCTTTCGATATGCATGTATGTAAGAAAAGCAGAAAAACAAGAAGGAAAAATTCACCAACTCAGGTGCTTCCATTCTTCTTTTCGTTTCGCCTTCTTCTACACTTCCATACATTTCCCTACCCATTACTTAATAATGAGAATTGAAAGATATTTTCTCTGCCTTTGCATGGATTCTTCTTGTCCCAGACCATCAATACTTCATTATTGATGTTCAGAGGCATTTCTGACTTTCCCCTTAACACACGCCGCTGTTATGGCTCAAGATGAAGGTAGAGCCGAAAATAATCGACTTTGAAAATCGACTTTTTGTATTTTTCCATCCTTGAAATGTTTTTTTTTCTTTTGATTTTCTTTTTTTCCCTTTTGAGAAAGAAAAATTATTTTTCTGCTATTTTGTATATTTTCATTTTTATCTATCATGACTGAGGCAGAAGAATGGAAAATATGTCTTTTTCTGCTCATTGCTTTCTCCTCCTATTTTATTTTTTATTTTTTTTCTCTGCTGCAGAGTGAGTTGTTGGAATGAAGATTGAATTATGGGAAAATGATGACGCAAAAAGATCGCTTTCACTTTAACCTTTGTTAACGCGATTTTTTGCGATTACATTTCATCAACTTAACTCTCTAAGATTCTGGGTGGAATATCAGACGCTTCATGTTAAATCCATTTCATTTTAAAAGCTCGTTATTTCTGTATCATCAGAAATCAATGATGTACAAATATCTATATTGGTTGAAACTGCTCGATTCGATTTCTGAATTTCTACGTTATATGAGAAAAAATAAAGAAAGAGAGAGCAAATGATTACAGTCGTCGGAAGCAATTTCAACTTATAGTCTGATAAATGATTACTAGTTTTTTTAAAGTATCATCCTCGAAAGCCGGTGAAATGTTTCTCTATTGACATTTTATGTGTCATCATCACATTATCGCGATTTAAACTAGAAAAAAAAGTGAGTGAGTGAGAGACAGCAACATCCAAACATACTTCAAAAGCAAAACCTTCGATATTTATTTGAAAAGATTCAAGTAGAGCAGAACATAAGTCTGCATTAGTCTTGTGTGTTATCTGTTCTCGTTTTTCTGCTTCCGTTTTCGACTATCATCTGATAACGATGAATCGGATGAATTGAGTGAGCAAAGAAAATTTTCAACTATAAATTATTCACTTTATTTCCTCCTTTTCCATTTGTTTCTTTTCCTTCTATTCGCTGCCAACCCACATTCATCTTCGAGGGCTCCCCTGAAATAATCGCTTATGTATGAGAAATCAATTTCCAAAAAGCAAACTATTTTTCAAAATCATAAGATATCATCAATTTTCCATTTATCGCTCAAGATAATTTAACGTTCACCCCTGTTTCTAACCCTTCCTTACCCACCCACAACCTACCCAAAAACACCCACTAAGACGATTTTTCTTCCGCACGTCTTCTTCTTTTCAAACACAAAATAAATTTAAACCGTTGAATGAGCACGAAGAAGAGTGCTAAGGATTTTCGGAGGGATGATTTAAGGACGATAATATATAACGACATATTTTCCTTTTCTTTATTTTGCTTGTAAGAAAACTTCTACTGACGCATAAATTACGAACTTGTTTGAGAGCTTGTAAAAACTTGAAATTTTCAACCCTCCTTCTCGTTTCTCTCTTTTTTTTATTTTTAAATATTTTAACCCAACTCCCCAAAGCTTTATATGAAAATGGAATGAATTTGAAAGAATCAAAAAGTTTAAATAATTTTTCTCTTTACATTATTTTATTTGATTTAGTTTTTATCATCTTTTAGTGATTTAGAGAGAAAAATTATTTTAACTTGGAAATCCACAATGTTCAAAGGATTATTACCGCATTTTGTGTATCTATATGCTTTAATTAAATTACTTTTAACATAAATTATTCTAGTTACTGGTATACTAGTTACAAGTAATTAGTATACTAGTATTTTAGTAACTTTCATATTCAACTTTTATAGAAGTTGCTTTATTTAAAGTATTTTCAAAATATACGATTCATCTTTTGCTCAAATTTCTTTCTGATCGTTTCATTTATTTTGACAAAATTCCACTCACACATTCCACTCCAACGACTTGCGTAACTCCACTCATCTCGCTTTTCTTTCCCTTATTTTCCTTTTCATCGAAAATATTTCACAATTAAAACTTTAAACTTGTTTGATAATGCTGTCATTTTTGTTGAGCTTAATAATTATTTACGGAATGTTTTTGTTTTTATTAACGCATGAGGTCCTTCGAAGAAAAGAAGGTGACTTGAATGGAGGCAGGCACTTGTGTTTTTACTTTTGAAGGGCTTTTGAGTTATTACGTCGATAATTCTTTAGGTATTTTGTTCAGAAATTTAGTCAACTCTGGCGAGCAGACAATCTTGTTTTATTAAAGTATGGAAATGAAGTGATAAAACAAAAAAAAATTCTTTCCCATTTTGTCAACATCAGCAATTCCGAAAATTTTCTACAATAGAAAATGAAATAAACGTCAAGTTCGTGGGTGAAGCAAGTTTTGTTGAACATTCTTATCGATTCACTGACTATTTATTTTAGAAATTACTTAAAACATTCAGTGACGTGATTTATGAATCATCCCCCTTGTTTGAATGAGAAATTTTCTAATATTTTCTCATTTTTCCTTCATTAAAAATTGTGATGTCACTTGGCTTTCTTTTCATTTTCTCTTTATGATGAAAAAGAATCGAGAAGAATAATAAATTTTTCTGTCTTCTTTCCTCGTCATGAAATAGATTGATTTATGATTGTTTGATAAAGATATTACTTGAAGATTATTCTCCTTCTCCGAGTATTATTTTCACAAGTGATAAGACGTCGGTAAAATGCTTCTTCTAACTTCATGGGTAAGTAAGGGAGCTGGAAGAGCTCTTGCAATGCTGTCTTAGAAATAAATGAAAGAATGAAATATTCACAAAAAAATTACTTAAAATTTTCTTCTATTGTTGTCTTAAAACTCCTTCAAAGATGTCACATGTCTTGCTGATTTCCAAGAACGCGATAAGAGGAAAAGCAATTATGTTTCATGCTTTTGATTTATTGAAGAGTTTTCTTCAGATATACTTTAAATTATATGATGCGAATAAGTCAGCATAAATGGGTGGGAGGAGTGGAATTCTTTTACACATAACAACATATGAAAATTATGAAAGCTCAATCATGAAAGAGTTTCCAAACAATGCTAGAAAGAAGTCGTCGTTGTTGTTACTTAAGTGACTTTAAAGCATCAACAAAGATCTCTGTATGAGAATATTTTTGTAATCTTCTGATGTGTAAGCCATTGTACATGTCATGAATGGTGAATAATAATCACAAAAGGAGAAAGCAACAAAAGATTTCCGCTGAAAACAGTAACAGTAACAAAAAGTAAATACTATGCTGATGTCAACCGTATACATGCAACATATATCCAGACAAGCTTACATATGCAACATATCAACAGTATCAGAAAGTAAAAATTTCATTTTCTTCTCTTCCATTCATTTTTCAGCTATTTCCACAGTCATTTTTCGTTTGCATTTCCACAATTCACATTTGCAAAGAGATTAAACGAAAATTAGACTTTTCAACTTTTGTTTGAGTTTTTCATGCAATAAATACAGCACAACAAATTTATTTAGTCATAGAAAGCAGACAAAAAATATGCTCGAGTATGTCAGGAAGATAGTAGTGAGACTTAACTGGCGTCTTCTATCTTGCTATATTTTCACGATGAAAGAGATCAGCTGAAAGAAGAATGCACGAGAAAGAAAAACTTTTTCATTTCTTATCTAAACGTAATGTGAATAAATACCTGGCGTCTATGTGAAAGCAACAAACATTCCACATTTAATAAAAGATTTCAAAGTAGTCATTTTTTTAACAGATTTCGCTTTTCTTTTCATAGCAGTGATTTTCAATTTCAAAATCCTGCTCAAGGTTTCAATATCAGAGAAAGTTTGTTTGTCTTGGCCACGAAAATCTTCGATAACAAAATCCTAAGGATGAAAAAAATTTTCACACGAATGTTGAAACAAGCATTTCGTGTCTGTTAAGAAGAAGGCAATTTATTGTTTGATCACATCTTTAAAAACGATTTTGTGAGATATTTAAAAACTTGGATATCTGTGCTGCTTCAACAAGCATAAAATATGTTCTTTGTCTACAAATGTTTTAATCTTTTACATTATCATCAACAAGCAAATCTTACGACCAACAATTTAGTCTCCATTTTTAAAAGATATCATCATGAAAATTACAGATCAAAAAATGTCTGAAATAAGATTCTAGACATAGACACAACAACAACAACAAAAAACTCTCAACAGTTTTAATAAAAAATTTCCCTTCCTCTTCTTCTTTCTTAGCAATTTATTTTTATTTTTATTTTAGAGTCTTTTGATATTTTTGTTTATGCGGTTTCTATGTGACTGTTTAACAGAAGAGTTCATGAGAATTTTATGGGAAACATTTTTTTAAATCACTTTTCGCTTGTTGTCGCTTCGTTTCCCAATGAACTTTTTTTTCTTCTCCCCTTTAGGTAGAAGATGAAAGCTTCCTGAGATATTTAAATGCATCTTGCATAGTTATTTAACTATGAAGCAAAAGAAAATTGTTGTAAATAGGAAGAATCAAGAGGAAACTTCGCTGAGAAGGAATAATATAAATAAATATATAAAACAGAAAGAAAAAAGTAAGTAAAATAAGAATTTTCATTCGTCTTTGAATTTTAATATAAAGCCAACCAAAAGATTGTTGTTGCGTAATTGCAAACAACAAACAAACTTTTTGTGCTTATTTTACATCAATGTTGATATTAATATTAATAGAGAGACGAAAGCTCTGCAAGATTTGAAATTACAGTGGAACTTCGATAAACAGTTGCCTCGATAAACAAATAAACCTCGATAAAGAAATATTTTTTGTCCCCCTTAAATCGAATTATTATCAAAGATTGCCTCGATCAACTGATAACCTTGATAAACTGATCCCCCTTGAGCCATCTGTATATCGAAGTTCCACTTTATTAGATAAGTTTGTGTCTTTGCATTGATTTTCTTTCTTAAATTAAACTTCGATTGAAGCATGATGAAATGTCATTTACAAGTCTAGTTTTATTCATCTTTAAATCACTTTTACAACTCGTTTCTGATGATTTTGAAATTCTGGCGAAAACTCTGCTCAATCAATTTTAATTAAAATACGTAATGCTGCTTCGTTCAGCGTATTCGACAGACAATCAGAAAACGAATATTTAGGTATTTGGGGAAATTGTATTTTAAAACATTTTCTGATATGATATATTGATATTAATTATACAAGATGCAACTTGCAACCATTTTCTCTCAATCAATACTAATTCAAGTAACATTGTGTTTCCTACTTTTGCTGACATAGTGTTTACGTTGCAGTTTAAATATTGAAATATTTTGATGTTTCAACTGCTTCCCTCTCGTTTCATTTCGTATGCAAAGCAGAATTCGCTTTAATGTACACAAAAATAGAATAATAAAGAAGAAAGAAAAATTGTAAATCTATGAAATAAAAAGCATCATGAAATGTTGGATTTGTATCCAATATTTATTCTGATTTTTAGTTTTCATTGGCTTTCGCAATGCACCTCATTTTGTAAAAGCGGTTTTGTTACAATAAAAACATTGCCATGTTGAGGTTTTTAAATTTATGTTGGATAGAGAATGGAGATGCGAGCTTGTTCATTTAAATTATGTTATGTTGAAAACGTTATCAGCCAACTGCGTAGGTTAAAAGTTGTTTTATTTTGAATTTTTATCTTTTTTGTTCATTCCGCTAACGGTGATGCATGCGGAAATTAAACTTTTAATGTGGAAGGAAAATACACTTCACAATTATGGATGATAATTAAAAACGAAATTTGCGCATAAATTCAATGCTTGAAAATGTTCTATTTATATCTACATTGACACACTTAAATAATAATTTACATAATTTAGATGAATGTTAAAGTGTTATTCACAATTTCTCACTAATTAAAACTACTAAATTAAATTTAAAGCCTATGCTTAACCCACCTTTGGACATTTTAAATAACATTAATTTATGGTATTAAGAACAAAATTGATAACAAATAAAAGCTTTCGTAAATTATTCACCCTACATTAGCTTTTTCGCGGAACGAGATAATTTTTCGAAATTTGGAAATAAAATCATTGAAGGGAGAGGAAAAGTGTGGAAAAAGGCGGAAAATATTTATTTCTCTCATTGTATTATCTGATTGAAAAATTGTTTTCAGATTGAATTATTGTCTTCCAATGCTGGAGCCAAGAAACATTGACATCAGCTATTTTCCTATCATTTGCTGTTTTGTTTCTCCCACTTCTGTTCTTTATGTGTAAAAAATTATTCTTTTCTTGTGTGGCTTTTTTGCGCTCAAGCGACACGAGAACGAAGAAATTGGATGGAAAAACAACACAAGATACAAGCTCAACTATTTTTATTATTTACTACATTCGTGAAGAAAATTGTAAAGGAAAATAAAATTGTAGTTGAAATATTTAAAAAAACAACAATGGCATTAAATTTTGACGTAAATAATGAAAGTGAAGCTGAAGAAGATCCATTGAATATGCAGGAATATATTCGTCATTATTATTTACACAAATTCATCAGGAGACATCAAGTTTGAAAAGAAAATGAAGCAAATGTTCAAAAAGATTTCTCAAAAAAAATTCTTTCAGAATCTGAGAACAAAACAGAAAAAAAAATGAAGACAAAAAACACTTCTTTGGATTTGGAACAATCAAGCTTCGAATAATATCATTGAAATCGTTTTGCTTTCTTTTATTTCTTTGCCATGGCAGCTAGGAAATAAAAAATTGCCGTTTTTGTGCTCTTGGCCTTCTTGTTGAGACAGTCAGTGGAAGGCAAATTCAATCAAGTAATAAAACATTTTCTACTTAAACATCAATTGAATTTGATGGTCTTCTCGTTTCCTTCATTACTATACGTTTTGGATAAAGCTTGACTGTAAACAACAGGAAGAAGAGAAGAAAGAAGGAAAAAAGTTGAGAAATTGCAAGTTCATTTTGTCTGAAAATCAGATTGAAGAGACGAGAAAGAGATAATCGAAATGAAGACAAAGAGCTTGAATGATTGTGAAGAAGGAAAAAAGGAGGAAAATCTCACACAATTTCCTCAATCCAAAGCAATATCGCTCTATTGTGTCACATAAATGATCGTTAAATGGTCGAGTAGTAACAACTTCATCCCATTCGGAAAAACTATCGACGTTGAGCTCGAGCTTCAAATTCCCTTCCTGCATCCATTTTATACATTTGAATTGTTTAAGAACGAAGGCGGATCGATTTCGAGTAAAATACATTTTCATATTTATATTTATTCATCCTAATAATGACGATGAAATAGAAAAACTCTCAACGGGAATGGCTTGCCGTTTACTTCTCTTCTTTCCTCCTTTTTTTTACATTCTGCTTGATGGTTAATTTGTTAAAAAAAGTGGATTGTGATTATTTAGTTAGGAAACAAATTTACGAAACAAAAAGTTAGCTGCATATCCAGTTTACAGAGCTTTTTCATGGTTGTTATGGTCACTGCCTGCTGCTACAATAAATTATCCTGCATATTCAATATATTGTTAAATTTACAACGACATTTTTCAGTTTTTTTTTCGTTGCAATTACAAATTATTTTATCGCTATACAAACTTTTTTTTATTTTATTTGGCGTGGGCGTCATTAGAGAAGGATGAGAATGAGAAAAGCGATTGAAAATCGGAAAAAAAATCTGAAAATATGGGCGATAATTCTACTAAATTGCTGTTTAAATAGAAAGACAATTGAATTACAAGCTCTCGGGATTGCTTGTCACCTCCCCCCAATTTGAATACGCTTTTCCAACACAAATCAATTATAATTTAAAATATAGACACTAACATAGACACTAATATTGAACATTCTATCGAGTTTTCTGGCCGGAAATTTCAGCAATTATTTAAAATGTTTCATTCCGTCACTCGATGAAGAATGAGAGGCGGTGGTTGATCACATGTTTGTGTTAGTTACATACATGTTAGGAATATTGAATAATTGATGTTCAATTCCTATTTAATACAGATGTGAAGCAATGAAAGCTTCAATCAATGCTGCTGAAAAACTGCTCATTATTTTTCAATTTTTATTTACTAGACATTCAATCTACTATGCTATCAAATGAAATTTTAAGTGCTCGTTACCATAACTACTCTATATGAGTTCATTATAGATTCATGTTATCTACAACTAAGTGGTTTGGTGGCTTTTGCATTCTTAAAATCTTTCATTTTGCCGCACTTATTAAGTTGTAGAGAATTCAATACAAATGCAAATGGATCGATAATGAAAACATAATGGAATTAAAATTATTTGAAATTGAAAATTGTTGAGATATGAAGAAAAGCTCAAAACATCAGAAAGCTGCAACATAAATTTAAAAAATACGATTGTTGGATATTTCATAAATAGATATTGAATCTGAATTCCAATATATTGCAGTACATTTACAATTCACCGCTTGCAATATGTCTTGCAATGTGCTTTCGGAAAATTAAATTTTCCACTTAAAGTGCTTCATTATTATTAGTCGTATCCGCTTGTGCTTGTTGAAGCTTCATGCAACACAATATTAAAATATTTTTGAATAAATTTTATAGATTTCCTCTTTTTCCACATGCTTTCGAGAGGAAGCTGAAGAAAATCGAAATTATTGCACAAGCGAGGAGAGGAAACCTGAGACATTTGCACAGAAATGGCCCATTATGATTTCGATATTGCTGAAGAGCGTATGGAAAGCAGTTATGTATGTGAACATATGCGAAAGAATTGGGAAACCTTGTAAATCGATACAACACGACTGCAACTGCGGGGGTGGAATCGAATGATATTATTTTATTTTTACCTTTTTTCATGGGAATTTATTTCCAGTCGCTCATCCGCTTTTCGATTTATTAAATCGCAAATTCGATTAAACTCTAAGAAGAAGAAAAAAATAAATAAAAGGAATCAGTTCCGTCTCGCGTATAATGAACTGTTTGATATCACTTCATGAGTTCCTTTTCACAATTTTTCTCGGATGTATGAGCACGTTTATAAAGAATTTTAAAATCAATCTTCAATTGATACGTAAGAAATTTGATTTCTTACTTATCTATGCGATATGTGTGCGTAATGAAATGTTACTCGGAAGATAGAAGATTAAGAATAAGAAAATGTGGTGGTGGATGTTGACATTCAAACATATCAATTGTAGATTAAGTTTTATTTGATTTTCTTCTGATATGATGTTTGATATAAAATCTTCTTGAAGCGAGACAAGATGAAATTATAAATTTGTCGTATATTCCACCTGAAGAATACAAAATAAGATAAACTTTATGCCAATAACCTCAAGATGTCTTCATTCCATGATTTCAATAATTTACTTCCATTTCATATCGAACGATACCAGAATTGATCATTTATGATTAACTCGCTAAGACACACAAACACACGCTCATGTAAAATTCCGTCTATTTATAAGAAGAAAATTCTCTTTCCGATTCATCTCTCAGACGGAAGAAAGAAAAATCCAAAATTATGATAAAAAAAAGAAGGAAAGAAAAATTTTAAATCGATTTTCACTTCATTCGGAAAATCGGATTTCAAATCATTTGCTGTGTATGCATAACACAACATTCACGGAAATAAAGCGAACAGAAAAGGGAAAAAGGAGAGCTTTCTTCTGAGTTGAGTTCATTATTAAGAAAATAATGATGGAATGGAAAGCAAAATAATTGGCGAGGAATACAATACGAATTCAGTGGAAGGAAAATAAAGATATTCAATGAATTATTGGTTAAATTTTTCGTTGGTTATTTCATCCGACTATTTAAGCATTATTATTTTATTATACTTACTATGTTCACTCATAATATTGGCAACAATATCAACAAAAGAGAAAGGGAAAATAATTCTCCATTGTTTGAGTTGAATGAGAGAAAATTGAAGGAGTTAGATGATATTTATTACAGGGCAGATTAGAATGAATGTAAGTTACATGATGTTGAAAATCGATTCGATTGATGAAATAATTTAAACGTGACTGATGAAATGTTCCCTCGTTTTATTAAAGAAACTGAATATTTCACTAATCAAAAAACCCTCTTATTGAAAATATGCTGCGTTAAGCCCAGAGTGGAAATAATGAGAAAAACTCGACTAAGCAGCAAACAATAAAACACAAAAAGTTTCTTTTTTTCTTGCTTGACTCGTTCAGAGTAAGCTTACTAACATGGAAAATGAAAAGTACCGAAGCAGAACGGTATTAAGATGAAATAACCTTATCATTAATTATGACTTTCTATAATTAAAAGTATAGTTGATTGGTCTCTAATGAGTATACGGAAAGCTGAAGATTATAGCAAATAGTGTGGTTTTGGAAACCACAAAAAATTGTTATCCATTAATGAAGAAGTCGACGAGATATATTCATATACAGATTCGTTAATCAAATGGTGTCAGAAAATTGGGGAAAATCAAGAACAATCGAAGAGTGTTAAGGCAGTGATGCAAAAAAAGTGAGAACGTCAGGGAATTTTCTTTTTTAAATAATTTATTCATGTTGAACATGATTATAATTCCATGTCACTGCTATATTTTGAAAGTCAAACTTTTCACGCACGACTCTGTATTGAATGATGTCTTTTGACGTAAATAAATCATGTTCCAATTTAGTTGAATGAATACAATAATTTGCTCTATAAATACCGTTCAGTTAACATCATAAGTTGAATAATGAATGAATTAAAAGTCAGGAAGGGGATCATGTGGAATAATGGAAAAGAACTTTTAATTTCCCAACCGCTTCAACTCACGTAAAAGCGGCACAGCGAAAAGCAGGAAAACATCTATCAAACAAATAAATTATATCACAACACGTGACATAAATGCCTATGCTTTCTCTCCTTTCGACAAGCGCTCTGCTTGCGCTTGTGTTGTGAATGTTTTATTGTGCACGACTTGTTGTTGTACGAGAAAATCTGTGGTTACACTAAAAGCTCAGCTGTAGATCATGCTGAGGGAAAAAACTCCCCTTTGATAGAGAAACAAAAGAAGTAAATCTAATATCGAAATGAAAATTTCACCTTTCTGTGGAAGCAATGAACATGCCATACATGTAGAGACACATTTTAAGCTCGCAAATATCATGGAATGAATTCTGTTTTGTTATAGAAAATATTTGAATATGTATGCTTTAAGAATAAGTTAAGTTCGTTCTTGGTCTGGTTCTTCTTTAACAAACCTAGACGAGCATATAAAAATTGCGTGTTCACGTTTTATTACGATTGTTATTGTTTTTCTTTTATTTCTTTCCTTCGTCTTTCGTTTCATTTAAGTAAACCAAATGATGCCGCACCATGGGTCGATTGTTGCCAATCCCTCCAGTGTATGAAAAGAAGAAAATGTTCTTCAAAACAGAAATCTCATCAACCCACAAACCACCCGCTCGCCTGGTGTGTAAGTAAATTACGATGAACGAAAAATAATGCAAATTATGTATTTATTTCATGTTCATGTCAGAGAGTAAAGTACGCGCGTTTAACTACTCAGTTAATGTTTCTTTCTGTCGTCTATTAAGTAATTTTAATTGTAAGCGATTTGCTGCAAGTTGCAATGGACTTGACTTTTACAGAAAATTACTACACTGTTATCTGCATAGCTTATTTAAAGGAAAAGACTTAGTTTCAAGTGCGTGATTGACTTTAATTGTGGATAATTTGTACGACACATAATAATGAAAATTGTAGAATAAATTTTCCAATTTTCACGTTGACTTCGTCGCTTGTAAATAAAATGTGAGAGAAAACAAGTAGATGATTACTTTGGAATTCCCAAATGACTGAAGTCGTTGTTTTGCTTCGTTTACTTCCGTTAATGAATTTTAAAAATCGTGCGCGAGTCGCTTAAAAATTGTAGGGTTCTGAAGCACCGAATGAAAAAATGTTGAGCAAAAAGTCATTATGTTGATCAACACTTTAGATAATTGACTCGAATATTTAAATGTTCTTTACTGATTTAATTTTTATTCCACTTTCGAGTAGTTTATCAAAATGCGATCACTAATTGTGAGGGAGTGTTAACCGATTTCTTAAATTGTTAAGTACGTTTGTAGTATACTTGCATACTTTTATCCCCCTTTAAAAATGAAAACATTCATCAGTGACGTAAATAGCTTAAACAATAATTTTAGGAAATTTAATACACTTATAAAACAGATAAATTTAAATTAAAATCTTTCAATATCTTACCATTTCAACTTTCTTTAATTGTTATTTGAATAAATGATTCACTTTCAGAGTGTTTTGTCGTCATATCGATTAAAGTGACTTAACTTGTTAACATAGCCTTAACAACATCACATGATCACTTAAGATCTTGAAAACATTAAAAAAAAATTTATTTCTTGTCAATATCTTGTGGATTTAAGACCAAGTAGAATGCTTAAATTGTGCCTGACGGTGATTTTATTGGGTTGTGTAACCCAAATCAATTGCGAAAATCTGCCCGTCTTTATTTGGGGCCAGAAAACGTGAGTAATTTTAAATTTATTCACCCCACAGCTTTCTTTCTCTCCCCTTTCAATGTTAAAATATTCTCGCTGCTCTTCGTAAGGAACGAAAAAGGAGGGGGATTTAATCCACCGATATAATCGCTAGAATTAATCACAATCTTTGTGCACATACTTTTTCACGATGGGCTGTATATTTAATGAGAACGAAAAGAAACTTAAATATTTAGTTCGTGTAATTAATTTTGATAATTTGATGAGGGAAGAGGAAGGGGAGAAAAGGATCAAGTTTCTTCTCATCAAGCGCTTAAAATTTCTAACAACTTGATAAAAACATTAATCACATGATTGAAAGATGATGAAAATCTTTATTAATCGTTTACAGGCCGAGTTTTCTTCCAACTTTAAGCCACTTGAATGGCGATGAGTTTATGACGTTGGTGAAATCGCAAACAGATAAGGAAACACTCACAGTTGTGTTTGTTGAAAATAGTTTATCAGTCGAGGATTTGAGTCAATGTAAACTTAAAACTGAAACTTGCTTCCAAAATCTTCGCAAAATTCAACAAAAAACTTACTTAACTGCTGTCGATGATCCCATCAGAGCATTAGAATCATCGTTTGGCAAACAATCGCAAAAAACTCTTTCATTGTCAAATGACGGAGATTTAAGTGAAAAACTTGAAACATCTGGAAACGAAAAAATTCTTTTCATTTATTTGGATGATGCTGAAAATAACGAGGACTTTGCTAAGCATGGTAAGTCATGTGACTCCATAAAACTTTAATTTTTTGACATTGAAACATGTTTTGAAATTTTCTTCTTATCTCATTTCAGATGAATTGATGAACAATTTATACAATTTGATTATATCGAAACGTGAAAATGTCATCGCAATCTACACCGCACGTCATCCTTCATTTGTAAGTTTTCTTTCTCTCCCACATTTCTAGAAATTATCTGAATCAAGTTTCTTTTTTCCCCTTAAGTCTTACTCGACTCCACTGATTCGTAAGGCACGTGACACTGCTGAAACTTCTGCAACACTGCTCAAACCGGCTGCTAAGCAATTAGAACAAGCACAACATGTGATTAGCACCAATCCACACTTTTTAATTGCAATGAGTGAAATTACTGTTGGAACAACACCAGTAGATCCTACACTACTTGTTTTGACTCAAAATGCAACAGCTGAATTGATGGAAGTGAGCTTAGTGTATGATACCCACAACTTTGGAATGAGTATTAAGTTGTCCGGTGGAACTTGGTACGTCTCACAATTTACTTACAATGGAAACCGATTCCATGAATCATATCCAGTGACAGCATCCTCTAGTAGATCTTTTGGATGCATTGAGCTGCCAATGAGTGACTTCAACACTATCATTACATTCCACAACATTCAAATGCAGCCACTTTTCAATCCTGTTGGTGACGAAAAGATTGAACATTTCGCTGACAGAGCTAATGAATGTATTGGCTTCTTTTCACCAGCAATTTGGGGCGCACTCTTCGTCGTCATAATTTTCGTGTTTATTTTATCCATGGGAATAACAATGATGATGGACATTCGCACGATGGATCGCTTTGATGATCCCAAAGGCAAAACAATCACCATCAATTCTCAAGAATAAAAATTGAGGATTTGTTGTTACATATTTAGTTAGTCGAAAGTGTGATAAGTAAGGAAAGTTGTTGATAAATAAAAGTCACAAAAAAGAAAGTGAAAGTCACACGTAGAATTGAATGTTATATTTCTATTCCGTTGAACAATTTTCTTTCACAAAGCAGCATATCACATATCAAGAATAAATCAATGATTGCCACACGATGGTGGTCCAGAAGAAAATTTTCTTTTAGAAAATCTTTTCGACATTAAAATTTTTTTTTCGAGAGCCAATCAAAATATTCGAAAAGGATTCGAAGACTCAAATTTCATGAAAAAATTCGAATATTTTTCAAATCCATCCGTTCAACCCTCAATCAAACTTTAACAATTCATTTCTCCACCCACACACAGTCAACAAAACGATATCGATATGATATTTGATGAAGAATGGAAAATTCCCTCAATTTGATTTTTGTTCCTTCTCAGGTTTGAATTCTTGACGTGCAAACGGTTTGTATGATGATTGAAAGAGAGACGTAAAAAAGCGAAAAAGGAAAGAATTGAATTTGAATAAAAAACTCGTTTATCTACGTTAAGAAAAAAAAGAAAAATGCGGATCAGTGATCCACATTCCTAGAGGACAGGCTGATTGTTGTGTGAGGGAGAATTTCAAAAGTCTTTCATGTTAAACTTGAACCTGATTTAAATTTGATTTATTGGCTGTTTGAGGATATTTTTTATTTGCGATTGCTGGTCAAGGATTTATTTTTTTCCAGCTTACAAAATTTCTTCCTTCACTCATATCGAGAAAAATATTTTGTCATGTTTTTGGCCAAAAGCGAAAAATAAAAATTCAATTGCACAACATCACAAAGATACTTTTATTGTCGCTTTTCCTTTTTCTGTTTTTCGCCTTTGCTTTTGTTTTATGAGATTTCTTTTTATTCGACAGTTTACCTTCAAGCGAAATTGGTTTTTGCCTCATGTTTTTGTACACCTTCTTACCAACAATATCGTCAACGTGTAGTCTTTTCTTGCTTACCTTCACTTACTTCTCCATCCTCTTTCCAACTTCTCTAACATCTCGAACTTCCCCATCCACCCCAAAAAAGAAAGAAAAGCAAAGAAGTTTGTCTGAGGACAACATAATACAAAACAGTTCTCGTTTGCTCTCTTTTGTATATCTCACCCTTCTTGAATCATTAATATTGCGTTCTTATAAATATATTTCATCTTTTCCTTTCTGCCTTTTTTTCTTCTTTTTCTTACTCACTCGAAGAAAGTTTTTGTCACACATTCAAGAAAAGATCGCTTTTCTGCTTGAATTTATCCCATGAAAGATTCCTCACGCTTGCATATTTGGAACATTTAACTGCACAAGAGGGAGACGACCTTCCTACCATAGCACATCACCTCGGCACATCATATAAATTATCATACATTTTTCAAATCATCAAACTCTTTCAAACGTAACGACCTTTTATGCTTTTATGCTGCAAGAAGAATATTAGAAGCGAGAATGAAATGACCAATTGAGCTTCGCAATATATAATCTGCATCATTCTCTTTCTTTCGTTTCTTGCCGCTTCACTTCCAACGCCTACAACGAAAATACCTTCATATTTTTCACCTCTTATTAACGGTATGAAGGACTGAAAGTTCTCGACGGATGGAGTGAAGTGGACGACAGGGGTGGCTGTAATGGACAAGAAAACTTTTCATTTCTTTAACTTCAACCTTCATAACACCACTGGCTTGATCCTTACGACGTAAGCAACAATAACAAAACCGAAAACATTTTTTTTAAATGAAACGGAAAAAAAGGAGAAAAAAAACTGAGAAAACGAAATGAAGGAAAATGTGTAATAAAATTATTCATAATTTATATGAAAGCGGAAAGGGAAAGAAAGAACAAGTTTCATGACTCGAATGAAACAAAATTGGCTCAAAAGCAACGTTGTAGACCTGTTTAAGTAGCAACTCTGTTAAATGCCAGTTACTTAAGAGGATAAGAAGCTCAACCTAATGAAACCTAAATTGATAAATTAGATTGACATTAAACATTTTTGTTGAGAGCAAAGCTTTGCGTAACTGAAATGAGAAACGTAACGATGGTGAATGGATGTCTTAGAATTTCTGAAAAAGCATCTTAACGAAGCCAACTCGACCGAAAAACATTACTTTGAGAGATGTGTGAGCATGAACATTCTCCCACATTCGAAACTAGTTTTAATTAATTCTCTTTTCTTGATTTATCGAGGCGAAAAACGAAGGGAGAGGAAGAAAATGTTGTGGAAAAAGGAAACATCAATGAATAATGTAACATTGGGGATAAAGGCCATATCTTTAAATAAAGTTTTCTTTCCTTAAATTACGACACATACATCACTTCTCAGTCCCTCATGTTGAACTCGATGAAAGCTTCACGGAATCCTCGAGTGCGTCTTCTTACTATTATAAGTTAACAACGTCAGTTAAGTTTACAAAATTCCCGTTTAAAATGCTGCCAACGTTCCTTCTTCTACTTTTAATTCATCATCATTATCATCACGATTGTTGTTATGCTGGGATTGAAAAGATGATTTTTTTTTCTTTCATATTATTATATAATATTGCACAATGTTTGAATGTAACAACATCAAGAATAATGAAGAATGAACATGAAAAACCAGTGGAAATCCTATTAAGAACCAAGTTCAACCAAAACATTTTTAATTGCGCCATAAATCACTGTAGAGCAAAACTTCAAAGTGAAAAGCGAGAGTTGAAATACTTTTCAATTCATTTCATGATGGTTGTGGATGTTTGGATGGAAGAAGAAGCAGAAACAGCAGGAGAAGAAAAAAAAATTACACATCCATGTTGTTATGTTGGAAGTGAAAAATCGGAAGCCCATGAAAAGAATTTTTTTTCTCATACAATTTTTTTTTCGTACATCGAATGAGGAATATAAAAATTTAAAATGAAAGTAAGTTGAGTGGTTTGCCAGGCTCATGAATTATGGATCGTCTTCATTAGCAGGTTTGCGATGGAAAATTTATGAGATTGGAAAAGGAAACGAAAGAGAAGCAACGTTGATATTAAACGGCTGTCCGTTGATGTTTTGTGTTCAGTACCATGTGTTGTATTCAGTACGGTAAAGTCAAACCCTTGAGCAAGCTAAAAGCTTTCAACATCTTTCTGCTTTGATGTCATCATGAAAGATGGAGTTTAATTAAAATCTGCAATCAATGGTCGGTCGAGAAATGTTTTCATCAGTTTAAATTTTACTTTTTTCTTCGTTTGGATATTTCTATGTCGTTCTACTTTCCATGAACCACTGGTATGTTTGCAGTTCAGATTATATCAACTTAAGAAATATGAATTGAACGAAGCAAGAAAATTTGTGCAAACAAAATCTTTGCTAAGAGGTGTATAGAGAAAACTTTGAATCTTTTCTTCATTCTTCTTAGTATTTCCATAAGTTTAAAGCTTAAACCTTTCCATTGTTCTTTATCTCAAAATTATTAGTCTCTCTTCTGTTACCAGCTCTCCTTAGAATCAACGTTGATGGTTTAGACTTCGACATTATTCATAAATTTAGTAACAATACTAAACTCACAAAGAAGTAAAGAATGAACAAGTGATGAAATGAATAAAGTTTTCTTTTCTTCTTTTATTTAATTTTTGTTGGTTGCGCTGTTTTTCGCGACGAATAAGAAATGAAAAGAAAAAGAAGTTTTCCTGTTACAAAGTTCCTTTCAACTTTTCAAAATTCCTTTGTAGTCACAAGTTCTCTTGTTGTTGTGCTTGTTCTTGTTCATGTTCAACAAAACCAACGAATGATGCATGTGTAAATAATATAAATACCTAATAACTACATAAATTTTTCGACAAAGGCAATGAAGACACAGGAGAGGATTGGAAAAAGCTTAAAAAAACGAATTCCTTCTTCAAAGTGAAATAAAAATGAAGAAATAATAAAAAACAACAAATTTCTATTTGATGTGGAATGAAATTGAATATTTCTACCTTTCTTTCATGTGTTTAAGGGTGAAATATGTGTGTGTGAGTGTTGTTATGTTTTAAGGCTTTTATTTAGTTGTTTATAATATTTCTGCTCTAGATATTTATGTTTCAGTTCAGATCTACATATTTTTGAATTTCAAATATTTTTTTTTTGCTTTTCCTTTTGCCTTCTCATTCACATCGACTATTTGGATGGGAAAAACTTAAAATAAAAAAAAAGAGGAATTCAGTTAGATTCACTTCTTATCCTTCGTGATGTTTCCTTTTTCACCCTCTCTAACTAAATATGAGCAATACAAAAAATGAGAGCTCGAACCATTCGCCAAGCAGACGAAAAAACATAAATTTTATATCTATTTTCGGTTTGAAATTGAAATATTTACAAAAAGGGGTGGTCTGGGTCTTTATGCTTTTTTTATTTACTTTTCGCCTCTTCGACTTTTCAAAGTCATGGTGGAATTTAAAAAATGTACCCCAAAATAATTCTATAAGCACAAAATGTAGCTTAATAATATATTTAAAAGGCTATAATTAATAAAGGATGAGATAAATTATTTTTTAATATTTTCTTTGTAAAGGTTGAGGAAATTTCAGTTGAGTAAAATGTTAAACTTTTGTAAGTCTGATATTTATATAAGGTATAAGGCAAGGCAGCACAATGACTTCAACTTGGTACAATGCCCTGCTATCGACATTCGAAACATCAAAAGTGTTTTAAAAGGTACAACTCATTAAAAAGCTTCTTTCACATTTCTATTCACTTGAAAGCACAATGTTGAAATAACAAAAGATTGTAAAAGCAAGGAAACTTCATTTGAAATAGCGTTTGGAAAAGTAAATGAGATTTTCAAACTAATTTGACTTACAAAAGTGATGTTATGATAAATACTTATTTGACTTTAATGAACTCAACTGAAAATTAAGAAAAAAATGAGAGAAACACACACAGAAACAGCAACAGCAACAAATTTTTCAGCAAAGCTTTCTTTTCCTTTCCAATTCCAAGCTAACAATTGAAACTTTACGACTTTAAGAGCTTTTTCAATGACTTTAATGCACTCTTGGAGATATAAAAGTTCTTAAAACAAAGTCCTTCGATCTAATCTTGAAAAATAAAATAAAATTTATTTGATCTAAAAATTCCTTACCCAAAAAAAAAGAGAAAAAAAATGTACAAAGAATGTTTCAAAATTTGTTATCATTTGTTCTTAAACCTAAGCTTGATTTTTTCTTTGTTGATTGTCATGTCGTTGAAGGCACATCGTAAATTTCATTAACTGTCATTGCCATAAAAAAAAAGAAGCGAAAGAATAAAAAATGAAAACAAAAAATATTTAAAGTCCCTCAACATGAATAAATCCAATAAAAGGCCACTTAAGACTGATCAGATTTATCAAATTTTCTAGTTCGGGATTGCCAAATCCAATTTCGTTGCTGATAGTAGTCCTCGATTTCATTCAGTGTTCGGTTTTTCGTTTCCGGCAAAAACATATAAAAGAGAAGCGAAGCAAGTAAGCTGGAAATTCCAAACATTAGGAACAGTCCACGACTTTTCAACATCGCCTTTAGCGTCGGAAATAGTTTTGTTATTCCGAACAGCATAAGGTTAAATGCTGTAAAAATAATGCCCGACCAATGCCTTACACGCAACGGCAACAACTCACCGACCATAATACCCGGCACGAGCATTAATGGCGAGTTGAAGGATATGTAAAGAAGCATGAGAATGCCAATGATGATTAAATCGTGGAAGGATTTTGTCGTGTTGCCTTTTATGTAGAGAAATAGCGACAGCATTAGTGCAAAAATTCCGGAGAAGAAGGTCGACGACAAATATAATTTCCGTCGATGGCATTTTAATAATAAAACGCAATAGATGACGGTTAGCAATAATCTTATCACTGCGGTGATTACTGCCGATTGCATTGTAGAAATTTCCATAGTATCACCAAAATTGCAAATCTCTGTGATGATGTCCACAGCATAAAATACAATTATGTAAGTTCCAGATAGAATTTGCAGTACATTGAATACATTAATAAGAATTAAAGGCTTTAATACTGAAGGTTGCGTGATGACTCTCTCAAGCGATTGACTTTTATCAATTTGGTTTTTTTCATTCTCAATACGCTCGATGGTTTCCTTTAACTCAGCCTTTGCTGTCTCATCTGAATCTCGTAGCCACGTAAGCGCTTCATGATGAAAAATTCATTGTTGTTGTTGATGATGATGATGATGATGATGATGACGAGTAACCGAAAGTTAGAGGGAGAAAAGAAAGAAAAATTATTTATTTTTATTGGAGCCTTGAGGGGGTGAATGGTCAAGCGGTTGGAATGATAATGACCGAAACTTTATGAGTGGATATTTCTTTCTTTCATTTTTTGTGTTTTACCTTTACGGGCTTTATCATAATAGCCTTTCCGAGCTAGCCATGTTGGACTCTCTGGTGCGACAGAGATCGCCATAAATGAAAATATTGGCAACAATAAACCGCACCATGCAGCTATGCGCCAATGTAATAAGCTTCCAAGAGCATATACTAGAAGGATACCTGACGAATACGAGACAAATGGGACGCTAACCAACATTCCTTTTCAGCATAAAAATATAAAAGAAACAAGCAACAAATGTTTACATTTTAATTAACTTTTTTTATGAAACTTTTTTTCATTTTTTCTTCCGTTTTTGTGAACGGTCAAAAAATTTACCTCGAAGGTTTGCTTGCGACATTTCGGCGAGTAATATCTGTCGGAAAAGAAATATTTATGCTTTTTTATTACACTTTTCAACAATCTTTTCCTTTTTTCAAATGCTACCTGAGCCGGTGCTGACATCAAACCGACCGCAATTCCACAAATGATTCGTCCAATCAAAATCATTGAATGACTTTCGGCAAGTGCGATGGAAGACCAGCCGACAATGAGTGGTGCGACTGACAAAAGCAAAGTAGTTTTACGGCCGTAAGCATCCATGATAGGCACCGAAGCTAAGGATCCAATTGGAGTTGCCGCTGAGTGAATGGAAGCTGCAGCAATCAAGAAGAAAATTGTTTGTTTTATTAGATTTGCGAAAGTAAATTTATTATTCACTTGAAACTTTAAACTTTTTGGGGAAGAATCGAAGTTTATTGTCGGGGTTTCCCCTTTTTTCCTCTCTTCTCGTGGGATATTCCAATTTGATATTCAATTTGAAGTATAAAAAAAGAGACGATAAAAAAAAAGCGACATCGAGAGAAGTAAGCTTACCAACCCAACTAGCCATCTCATAGTCCATTGCCAATGAATCGTTTGGATGATTGAGCAATTGAGGTAGAATTACGACCGAATACCTTATTGAAAACAAAAAATAAAATAAAAAAGTTGATTTTAATGATCCGAAACATCCTAAATTACTGACGTAAGACTATAAATCAAATGATGCGCATAACATTCTAGCAGTAATAAAATAAATAAATTCTTAAATATCTCGAATAGATATTTTATTTATTTATTTTATTAACATTTTTTTGATAAGAAAACAAGAAAGTTTTCTTTAATAAAAATAAATGTCAAACGAAAGCCATGTTATTTGTTTCTTACCCGATGGGCATGCCCACACCAGCCGTTAAAAGAATCAGCGCAAGTGTGACTTGAACCTGCAAGAGACATTGAATGGTATTAACACGGGTTGAAGTGTTTTCTTTTATTTTGTTTTCACATAAAATTGCTTGAGGAAAGGACAGTTTAAGACAGTGATATTCAACCTGTTATCATTGGAATGAGAAATATTTGAGGTCTTTCTTATTTAAACTTCCTTCTTTGAAGTGAAGGCGAGAATGTCACGACATCGAATGGTTGAAAACCACTGCTTTGGGCTTGGACAAGGAGAAAATGTTAATAAAAAAAGTTTTTTTTTGCAGATCTTTGAAGGTTAAAGAAGCAATAACTTTCATCATAGCTTTATTGCTGTCACGAACAATTGAGTTTGATGTAGATGAATGAAAATTATCGATGGCATTTTTCATTTTAATTTAGATCGACAATGTAACAATTTTTGTCGTTTAAAATTTTTATAACTTTATTTTTCTCTTTTAATCAAAATATTTACATTTCGCTTAATAAATTGAGTTGATTTTTTTATCGTTTCATTCATCATAAATCACTTTATCCGTCCATAAGAATAATGTTGAATCAATCTCGCGTTAATTGTTATGTTTTCCGCTGACCAATTTAAAATCCATTAGAAGAAGAAACGTGTGTCAGTTGCTACGAGTTTTTGGAATCGTTTTAGATTGTACAGTGGTCTCTCCCCATAACATCCACTTCTCAATCAAAATCTAGAACAAAATGTTCTCAATATAAAACCAATTTTTCTGGTCCCTTCAGAAATGTTATAGGGAGAGTTCACTGTATAATTAAAAAGAATGAAATTACTTGTGTTGAACTTGAATATTTGCGTATTGAACTAATGAAATCGAAATAAAAAACACGTTCAGTCGTTCCCCAAAATTGAAGCTTCTTCAAATAATTTATTCTTCACGTCATTGACTTAAACTTGAATTCACTTGCTGTGTGTTTTTTATATAGAGGAAGGTCAGGAATTTTTCATTAATATTAATTATCAACTGATTGAGATTTAATTCTCGACACAGAATTTTGCGCACAATCTTATCTCAAAAGCTTTTAGAAACCAGTCAGTCCTAAAAGTTACGCAAATTGATATCGTGAGTGATAAATCAAGAATCGACTTCACACAGAGATGTGAAAATCAATTCGAAATCAAAGTAAATGCCAAATGGCTTAAACGATAAAGACACGTACACAACATTGTATGACATTCTAGGGATTTTGAGAATGATTTTTAAATTTAGTGTGAAATATAATTCGTTGTCATTATTTATGCGGTTCTCACACTTTGTTGTAGACTTTTTATTACTTAAAATTCAATTTGACTTCGTGTTTGTGTGTTTTTATACTTTTATGACACTCTCTCGATATAATATCGAGTCGAGTCAAACCATAATGAAAAGAGAAGAAAAAAAATAATAAAAGACAGAATTTGATGATGTTTGATAACACAAATCAGCTGTGGGATGATGACACACATCATCATAATAAAAAAGTGATGTGAACGAGTAATCTACCGCTGGTTGTTGAGGTCAAGGTTTTTTAATTCAATCCAAGTATCATCATCAGTCACTTGAATATGCGATTTTTTAATCTCACTCGTTGATAATTTTATGACAAGTAAGAAAAGACATAAAACCAAAACAAAGAAAAAGAAAACAGCAAGGAGACGACAGCGACAATGATGAGAAAAACCTTCTCATCTTTTGATGATTTTGATGATGATTTATGAGTTTGTGCTTAAGGCATAGCCTCGCTTACACATTAAACATCCTGTTCGCGAAAAGAAGAGATATTATGATACACAGACACAACACGTCAGGTGAAGGAGATGGGAAAATAAGAAGAGGAAGAAGCAAGCAAGCAATAACAAAAAGAAGAAGATCGAAACACTCCGGTACACGATGGAAAAAGGGATTTGTTTTTATGGTAATGACTGTGAGATATGTCTTCAGCTCACCTTCGACAGCCGTCGAATGAGAGATGAATTTATAGAATTTTGATGGGGCTTTTGCACGATACACTCAGTGACGGCGCTTATACTTTTTTACGACTTATATTTTCGTAGAATTATTTTCGTTTCACGGTTAAACAAAACAAGAAAGACAACAGATGTGGTTTTTTCACATTTTCAGACTTTGACTGCCTAAAGTTATGATAAGTATTAAGGTGTAAAGGCTTTCACGATGTAAATATGTTCATGGAACGATGTCGAACGACATTTAAGCTTCACCTGATTTGATTACTTATGTTGTAGTTCAGCTTTTCAGATTCATAGGCGAAAGCTTTCTTTCTTGTTTCGCTTATATTTCAGGAAATGACATAGTCATGAATGGAATCAAAAGGATTTCAACTTCTTCGTATATCTACATCACATCGCATACATTCACACGCTTCATACTTTGTTGCGCCTTCTACTTTTGTCATAATAAAAAAAAAATTGTCAAAACAATATCTGTGAAAACAAAACTCTCGACATTTTTGACATTGCACTGCCTTCACCTTTCGCGAATATTCAATGTCAGTCATTAAAAATGTCCACAACAGCGAGCTTTTGAAATTTATCTTGATCCCTTGCATTCGAAAAAGAGTCGAAATAATTCATTTAATCTGAGATATTTATTTCTGTGTTCTTTTCAAAGCACCGCAATATTATTAAGTGCGAAAAAAAACATTTACAAAAGTATTTCACCTTCTTCTTTTTTTCGTTTTACTCTCTTTTCATCGAAAGAAAAAAAAGCTCGGAACAAACACGAAGGAAAATAAAGCAAGAAATAAATTTTTCAACAACTCACCTGATGCCAAACGCCAATTCTCGAAACAGATTTTGCTTTCGTCCCATTTTGAGTGTTTATTAACAATTTGTCAATCTCAATTAACTGTGCCTTGTGATCAAATTTACTTCTCGGCTCATCCAAAATCGTCGCTTGATTAATATTAATAATTTTGAACTTTTTGCTTTCATCTAATGAAACTGTTTCACACTCGACGTTGGATTGATCGCATCTCTCTGTGCTGCTTTTTGAAGGGAAGAAAGAAAAAGAAGTGACAGCGGAGTGAGGGATGTGAAAGCATAATAATACATAATGAAATCACATTTCAACAATTAATGGAAATGTATCATTAATTTTGCCTGCTTTGACAGTGAAGAATTGGATAAAAATTTACATTGCCATTGTTCGAGGCGCGCGCTACGAATGGGATGACAGCAGCAGCAGCAGTAACAGCAGCAGCGAACTTTTCTTTCACTCGTTCTTAACACACAAAGCAATGATTTTATATCCACAAGAAATGATAAAAAAAAAGAAGCGGCAGAATAAACAGTACAAAAGCTTTGGTTGAGAAACACTTTATGTCAGCATAACTCGTCGCACACACTTCACAAAGATTTTTATTTAATTTTTCTTCTGTTTCTACGTCGTGTTAAAAAATCGCTTATTTCTTTTCAAAACAATGGAGGGCTCTTAAAATCCTTTTTTTCTCTCTTTCTTTGCTTCTTCAACACGACACATGCACAAATCCTCTTGAGCCCAAGATATAAAGTAATTCTTTTATACTTGAATTTAGCTACCATAAACCTCCATAAGATGGTTATGAGAAAATTCCGTTGATAACTTCTTCAGTTACAAAACAAAAAATATTCATCCAATAAAACAAAATCACTCTTTTCTCTTAAAAGTGGCAAGGCAGCCCACTAAAGCGGAATGAAAATAAGGAATCTTCAAGTTGGAAGACAAATGTTGAGTGGTTGTTTCTTAAGCATCAGTAATTAACGAAGAAATTTAATTTTCAAGATATTTTATTCCAGAAACCACATGTAATTATCACAAATAACGTCAACCGAAAAAAATGCGGAAAATAATTTTTTTTGATAAAATAACTTTAATAATTCACAACGTAGAGCGCGATTCTTCTCCGCTTCACGATTAACTTTGAAATAAATTGGTGGCTTTTTCATTTTTTTTTTGTTTGCGAAGATCTCTCGCATGTCAATTTACTCTCGACGAAATATTTTGTGCTGTACTTAAAAGCAAGCAAGTCTCTTTCTCACTCAAATAGTATTTTTAAAGTGAGTTTAAATAACAACTACAATAATATTTGAGCATATTCGCACATTTTATCAGAGCTTGTGACGTATTTATTTGGTATAAATGTCAATACAAGTGGGGGTTGACATTAACTAGCGTGTCACACGAACACGTGTTCATTCTAATTATAAAATAAAAAATTGTCTTTTGTTAAAAAACAAAAAAGTTACAAAGGATTGATAAAGTCATTTATGTAAAGTTCTACTACGACAATGATCGCATTTTTCTCCAACATATTGAAGGGAAAACTTTTATTTCTTTTCTTTCATTCTTATCACAACTGATGATCGTATACGATATCCACATATACACAAATAAATTAGGTGACGATATGAAAGAAGGAAAGAAGGAAGGAAAGAAAAAGAAAGAGAAATAAAAGTCGATCGTAATCATAAAGGCATCTTACTTATTTATGCGTCTGATGAATTATCGTAGGTTGGGAAATCTTTCTTGAGTCTTAATTTTTCTCATTTCTTCCTTTTGAATATGTTCATTGAGTGAAAAAGGCGGCTGAAGGTTGATGTGTTGTTATCTATCTCAATAAGTATGAAACTAGTTTTAAAGAATTTTTGCTTTATTCTTGTTCTTCTTCACGAATCAGGATGTACTTAGGGGAAGGGGAAGGGAAGAGAGATGATGAAAAAAGTTTTATGAGAGGCTTAACTATTCTCATTTCTAGCTGAATCATTTGATATTTTCAATAGTACGGAAAGCTTAATAGCTTTGACTTGTTAGATGTTCTAAGAATGGGAGAGTGAAACATTTGACGACATTTGCAATCCTCGACATCATTCAAATGAAACTTGTTTCATCGTACAGATACTTAAAAACTATGTAAAACTAAGTCGTTCGACTTGTTTTCTTTTCGTATCGGGAATTTTTGTATTTGAGATTATTTTATTTATTTATTTCTCTTTTTTTTTGCGAGATATTTAGTCGTGACATCATGAGATAATAAAACATTTTCATTTGATACTTTTTCAGTGGCGCTATGAAGTGAGAAGACGATCGTTTTAATAAACATGCTAATGTCGACGCAACTTTTTATATAATTTTCATTTTTTTTTCGTTTGTTTATCAAAACTACATCACTCAAGCGATAATTCTCATCGTTAAATTTTTCCTTCACTTTCGATATCGCGACGCGGGTTTTTTCTTGCTTTCCTCGAGAAACATGCGCGAGAGCAGCGCGAAAAAAACTTATTTTAGGCCATGGTCAATAAACATTGTGATCATGAATTAAAATCTTGTTCTGACTTGATTTGATTCTAAGGTCATGTTTATGTTTACCGTAGTTCTTATCATAGTATCTAATAGAATGACGGAAATTCATTTAGAGCATCAACTTTGTGTACGAACGTTTATCAGAGCTCATGAAAGAAACAAGGAAGACATTCTAAATTCTATTGTGTTGCATTTCCGCTTCAAGTACAATTTATTTCTTGATATGAAAAGAGAAAACTTTACTTTGATGAAGTATGAATGTCATTGGCATTAGAAATCAGAATATTCCATGTTCAAAGGTCAAAAGATCAAGAAAAGAAAGCTTTGTGAAACATATCAACACTTGCATGTTTCAATATAAATATTTGATGTGAATTTAAGTCGAAATTGTCTTTCAAGTGAATAAGTAAAAGTTTTCTAATATAAAAATCATCCACGTTATTGTTTATAATTTTCTATTTCAATTTGATGCAGACATCATTCAAGTTTTATCCATTTCTTTGTTATATTTTATTGTCTAACCTACCATGACTCCATGTCAGGAATTCTCAACTGATGGTCATGAATGTCATGAAGGAAGTTGAAATGTTATAAAATCAAGCTTAAAAATTTCCAAAAAGTTCATATGTCCGCATGTCAGAAAAGGTTAAGAATCACTGTTCTATGTAATGTCAGAAAAACTGCAAAAAAAAGTTCTTTTTGTGACCTAAATATTACTCCAGCTCTTTTTTTATTTTATTCTTGTTTTATGACGAAAATATTGAAGCAGCTTGCCATAAAATCCATAAAATATTATGTCGTGTGATTTCCACTATAAATGCAATGAAGTTCTCGATTCATGGTTTTCTTTTTCACACTCAATTGTAAGAGATCGAGATGTTAGAAAAGAATTGTCAAGTAAGAAGATGAAAGTGATACGAGAAGTGATTTATCAGTCATAAAGTGAAAATAACAATCGCTTTAAACGATTCCGGTATGAGAAGGAAGAGCGTGAGTTAGAAGGAGAGAGCGACGTGAAGGGAAGTGTCAAGAATAGAAGCTTCTGCTTTATAGACACTTGGGAATGAAAGGCCTGTAACTAGTGCGATATGATGGAGAGAGTGAGAAGATGAGAGAAAAGCGTAAGTAATAATTCAATCAAAAACACGTTGATACAAGGTCGAGTGGCAATTTAGCTCATCATTCCGCATTATATCTCATACAAAGCTTTCTAATAACAAGAAGCAATGACCTTTATATCATGATTATGTATACATTTCAATGATCTCATATCTCGTAAAATCTTTTCTGGGTTACACTTTAAAAGAAAGAAGCGAAATAAATTCAAATTTGTCAATTTAGTTTCACTTTGCTAGACGAATTTTATTGATTTAATAACCCATTTTGATTTAATGTCGACAAGTCATTTCATTCTTCATTCAGTTTTTGAAATAAATTGACATTTTAAATTTTTTTCCTATTATTTTCGGTTGCTGCACTTCTGCGATTTGCATTTAAATTTAAAACTATGTTTATCTATCTACGAGAATTCTAAAATGCAAAAGTTTAATTTGCATAATGTTCGCAGAAGAGGTTTTCAGCCAAAGCAAAGCAAAAAAGAAAAGTAAAGTAAAATAAAATGAAATAAAGGGATGAACGTAAAGGTGACAAGTGTGATAATGGAAAATACGTGTAGTTCAATGACTTGAGTTGAGAGAGCCTTATGTAATATGGAAATTATTTTGATGTGAAAGCTTTGTATGGTGCGAAAAATATCTATTCGCTATTCTTCATAGCTCAACGACTACTCACTCTAATGGCTAAAAGCTTTTAAGCTGATTTGGGAATTTAATAAAGCCACTCGAACCCAGTTTTCGCCCCTTGTCTCTCTCTCTCTTTCTCTCACTCTATCATCTTCTTTCATGAATGAAAATGATTTAAATTGCGTCAAGTGATTATGAATTATTTAGATATTGAAATATCTCCAAACGTCTTAAGGGAAGAAATAAAAGAAGCTTCCACTCGACTCTTCTTACTGCTTCAATGCAACGTATCTCTATCAATAAATGACGAAGAGAGAGTTGAATAAGTTTTCCATTTCGTGCTTGAGTTAAGAGGAAAGTGAAATGTGAGTGTGATTAATTCATGCTTCACTTGGAAAAATAATTAAAAAATGAAATTTTAACTCGATTCTCACTCACGAGTAATGGAAAACTTTCATTCCATCTAATAGTTACGAATCTTATTCATTGAGAGGACGATAAGAACGTAAATTAAGTTTCATTCATGATGAAAAATCCATGTCATTCGAAGACAAAAATATTTATTTCTCTCACGATTCTGAGTGTTTGAAAGGCTTTAATTATTTCATTTCAACCTCAGAATGAAAACTGAAAATAGTGAGAATCTCAACAGAGATTCCCGAATAATGATTTAGGCACCGAAACCATTCCGAACTGCATGAATGATTTATGATTTGGTGAAGAAAGATATGTCTTGTGGTTAAGATGAGCTAATGTCTAATTATGTTCGAGCTGTGCATGTAATTTATTATTCAGGGACCGATAACATGCTGTTCAATTGTCGGGACAGAAGCATTAAATCCCACGCAAAGATTTAATTTATTATTGGATAAACAATCCTAAAGAATCTTTTTTCAAATCATTTTTTTGTTAGAAACGCAAACTGTTTCGAGAAAATTGCATTTGCAGAGGTAAGCTAATCCACATGAATAAAAAAAGAGTAGAAAGAAGAAATCTGCATTAAAAGCTCCACTATGGGGTTTTCTTTTCTATTTTTGTGGTAAATAAGCTTATGAAGAATGAAAAACAGATAAACTAGGAAGTAATATTCAGTGACGCCGTGCTGAATGGGAACAAAATAAAACCACAATGAAACATTGTTAACCAGTTAAGATTAAAAGGGAGAAAGCTTTTTCATCTTTCCGATACAATCCGCTTTTTCTCATTCATTCGTTCGTTGGTTCGTTCATTCACCATGCGATGAATTTTTGCTTTTTTTTATTCTCCTCTCATGTCCATGCATAGCTATGTAGAGATACATAAACAGATAGAGACACACATTCACTTCCATTCTTTATAAATCGCTTGTAGGGATAATAAAGGAAATAGAATTTTATTCGTGTGCTCAACATGCATTAATTCAAATGACGCTGAATATTAGCTTTTTATTTTGGCTGAACAAACATCCAGGAGTGTTCAACTTGAACTTTTGTGACGTTATAAATTAAATACTTATAGTATGTTAAATAATAAAGTCTATATAAAGTGTTGCGGTCATAAAACTTCACTGAAGTATCACATGAACATGACTATGAAATATTTTTGTATGTTCATATATCCAACATAAATATCGTGGTCATCGTTAAAAGGAAAAGAAAAGCGAATGAACGAGAAAAAGAGTCACTCAGATGAAAGAGAAGAAGAATAAAAAAGAATTGCAAGGAAGATAACAGATTCGAGAGAAATGTTTTGCTTCCACTTGTACAATTCAGTGCCACAAATTTCATATGAATATACGTACATTAGGGATTAGTGCTCTCATAAAATTGTTTGATTTATATTCATTTTTCATATCGTTTGTTCCTCGGTTATTTCCTTTTTTCCCGTTTGTTTTCTTCGCTTGCATTTTGCTCTCAACTACCTTCGCATTATTCGTTTACATGTTGTTCGTGGAAAAGCCAGAAGGGAGAAAGAAATATTTTGAATGCGGTTTACTTTTGCCTTTTTTTCATGGTATTTGCTATACATTAATTAATAACGAAATGAGGTAAAGCAGATTTGCTGATGCTACCCTCATGCTGATGTAATTACTGCTGCTTTCATAATTATTTTTACATGATACATTTGAGAGTTGTGCACAGAAATCAGAAATTTTGTTTCTACTGCTTCAGGAAAAGTAAAAAGAAAAAAAAAGTTAATTTAATATATATTTATATGTAGATGAGGGAATTCATTCATTCATTTATTCATTGTGGCTTCGTCTAACATGAATCAAAAATACAGAAATTTGTTTTGAATGTTTTTGGTGGGTTTAAGCATTTCATCACTTCCTATTTTATTGTTTACGTTAATGAAGCAAAGGAGGAATATTTTGAAGTCAAACAAAGCAAACGAAGAACTTTAATTGTTTGTGAAGAGTAGATATTATGTGATAATGAGGTTTTCCATAATGTTATAAAATGCAAATTCATATTTAATTGACCTAAATTCCTAAAGCTAGCAAACTATGCAATCCTTCTGGTGTATATCGAGAAAATATCAAACAAATATATAATTAAGATGCTTATCGTAGACACTCGAGTGCACTATAATAAGATAAACAATTATAAATGAAAAGGGTTGAGTGAGCTAAGCTGTAATTGAAGAAGCTTAAGAAGAAGTGACAAATAATGAGATTGGAGTAAGTTGAATTTAAACTTTAAAGTGAAATTCATTGCGCTTAAAGTGCAATCCAATTTATGTCCTCGAAGTCCATTTTCCAGATTGTGATGTCGTTACCAAACGAATTGAACAGGAAAAAAAGAATTTTATACTATTTTTCCGAGTAAAAGTTTTCATTTATGTATGTTTGAGTGTTGTCATGTAATAGGAAACATGAATGAAAATCTTTTGAAAAGTGTCATTGGAATGCAAAGCAATGATACACATCAGTCGTCAATGGATCTCATAAAACGACATTATTTTCAAATCAGTCCTTTCAATAAGTAGTAAATAGAAACTGAAACTATTCATGTTGAAAAGAAAATATTACATTCAAATTCAGAGAATAAACGAATTGTGTTTCCCTACCAATAATCTAGTTAATGTTACGATACATAGAAAGAAAAGTTTATGCAAGAATTTTATTTACAAAATCATGATGCAATAAAGTTTTCCCTTTCTCTCTTCATGTGCTTGCACATCGTTCGACTTGACGCTTTTTCTCATTTTCCATGACTATATCGACGACCGTTTTTTCACGTAGTCACGACACAACTGTTTAAGTTAATTTTCTGAGATTTTTTATAAATAGTTTCCAATTCTAAAACAATCTTTATTTATTATAACAATTCATTATTATAAGACACGTGTGACTGAATTAGGTAAGAAACAGTAGCACAATATCGTAGGTGACTGAATATTTATGTCTTTACAATTTTAAAACCCAAATTCGCTAATATTTGAGAATTTCTTTTTCCTGTTTCGCTTTTTTTCCATTTCCTAGCCGATATGCATAAATATTCATTCACGACATATTGAAAGCTGAGACATTTCTATATTGCACTTAACAATCGTTTCAACTAAATGAATATTTAATGCGCTTTTCACGGTTTTCTTTCCACACTACTTATTAGTTCGGGGATGTATTGTGGGGATAAATGTTGTTGTTGTTATGTTATTTTATATTTTCCCATTAAATAATTCACTTTCTTTGTTTTCCAAATGCCTTTCTTCTAGATTGAATATTAAACTTCGAAGATTTAATTCATGTTTGTGGATAAAATTGTTATGTGTACGAGTAGTTTGGAAATAACTAAACAATTCCAATCTTATTTAGATCTAAATGGTCTTAATTGAAAAGAAATTAATGAACAGGTAAACAAAAATTCATTTAAGTGGTTTCATCTGTTGGACATTATTAAACAATTCCATAATCAAGAATTTTGTTTGATTGTCATTAATATTCTTCGAAAAATTTCACAAAATTTGTCAATTTTTCGTGTTTTTCCTTTAATAAATTTCAAGGTGGAAATTTTGTTCTTCGAAATTAATTAGAAAGCATAAATCATTTTAATTCAAGAATATTTTCCCATCGAAAATAAATTAACTCGTCAAAAATAATAAATTTATTCTAAAAATCGCTTAATCTGTTGAAAGCAGCAAAATAAATGAAACTTTATATTTAATGGCAACTGAAACAATAAAAAAATTATCAAAAAGTTGAGGAAATTCTTGTCATAAATTTCACCCACACATTTCAAGTAAATTTTTCTTCAAAGAAAACAAATCAAAATTCCATCACATAGAAGCATCAATAGTGAGTACATTTATGTGGAAACAATCATCATTGTTTGAATAAAATTGAAATATAACTTGAGCAATAAACTAAAACATTTTAAAAATGCAACATATGGTTCAATAAAACAGAATTTGATCAATTGAATCAACACGTTTCTGTTTGAAAGTTCTTTTACCTCATAGTAGAATAAAAATAGTGGAAGAAGGATTGATTGAAGATATTCTGAAGTCTTGTTAGAATTTGTTCAAGTGTTTTAAGTAAACATTCACAGTATACAGCGGACCCGCGTGGGGTGGTCGAACGCAGCTGAACAACATCGTTAATGATATGATAATTAAAATTACTACACGCACCGCTTTCACATGTCTCAGTTACTCATTGACCACCCTTTGATATTTCCTTAAAATTTCTTCTCGTTTTTAAAGGCTAAAAATCTTGAAGTGATCAACAGTTTCTCATGTGTTCCTACGACTTTCTGGTAATGCCGAATAAATGTTATATCTTATGTGAGTCATTCATGATAAAATAAAAAAGAAAACTGTCAGAAAATCATACAAAAGAAGAAAACAATTTCAGATATTTTTGTTTCTTTTATTTTGCTAAAGTCGCAAATTTCTTTCTATTTCATTCGTGCGGCAAACCACTCTCTGCTTCTCAAGTATTCTCGTGGTTTTGTCATTCTACTCTGAGTCTGTTGTTGCTTCTAATATTATCATTTTTATTTCAAGCGCAAATTATTTCGTTTTTCCACTTTGAAAAGCAAGAAGAAAACAACCAACAAAAATTTCTTCTTGTTCTATTCTCATGTTTAGGGTGATAACATCAAACGCAGGCATCATCCCAAAAAGAAAACGAAGGAAAGAAAACTTTAAACATTGATACAAATTCTCTGATGATTCACCGTCGAAAAAAGAAACGAAAAATCACATAATATGGGAGGGAATCAGAGGAAATATTGATTTTTTTCTGCCTTTTCTTTGACGACGGTTATGGCAGTGAAGAGGAATACATAAGTGTCTCAACAAGCATGAACAAAAAAAAAATTGTTTTCTCATAATCTTTAAAGACTTTTTCATTCTTTCTTTAACATATTTTCGTATGAAGCTTCTTTTCATCTTTCATTCTCTTCTTTTCATCATCGATGGTGTCATAAAATAATAGAAAATGGAAAAATAAAGACATGTTAGTCTTGAAATATTCAGTTGAGGAAGAGATAGGAAGAAATTCCATTTGATATATAATTTTTTATAGCCATTCATGTGTGTATATGAAAGTACATAATATTTGCGTACATATGCTCAAGCAGTGCTGTTGATAACACAGCGATTTGAACGACAGAAGCTTGTAGATTATAAAGGAGAAGGAAGAGCGATGAATACCTCACAATACTTCAAGAAGGTGGAATGAAGAAAATAAAGAAATCATTGAATTTCTTGCTTTTCATCTTTTTCTTCATTTTTTTTCTTTTTCCCCGCCACGCTACGTGGAGAAATTGATTTTTATTTTCACCACCCTACAACAATCCAACCACCCCCGCATTTTATGCCACAAAATTTATTTTGTCTTCGCCAATGTTGTCGATTTTCGTTCTTATCGAAACGAAAACACAAGTGATATGGAAAACGTTTATTGAGGGGAAAAATATAAAAGAAAAGGAATGGAAATTTTCGCAATTTTGAGTAAATATGATGATTGATAAAACTTCAGAAATTTTCTGATAACATGAAAAGAGGAAAATAATTCACTGCATCCATTTTCCTTTGTTTCACGTCAAAAACACTTATTCGTTTAAAACTAGTTGTCTCCACAATCTGAGTTTACAATTTTCATGTAATCTTCCTTCCTTTGAAAGTTTAAACTGAACGACGTTTTTAAATTGCATCACTTTGAGAAAAAGCAGACATTTTTAAGCAGAACATTTTTCTTCTATTAAGTTTAAAGTTTTCATATGCACTTTGTCGAATATGTTATGAATAAAAGCTTTTCTCAGGGATTGAGTTTATCAATGAATCTTAATTTGGAATTTGTCAAAATTTATGAAATAAAAAATTAAAAATTTTAATTTTTACCACGTGCGACTTTCGATTTGCTCATTAATAAAAATTTCACTTCAACTTTTCTCATTCTTTTAACCATCCCTGATTATTTTCAATGCTTTAAAACAAAAGAATCCAAAAAAAGAATAAAAGCGTTTTATGCGGAAGGGAAGAAAAAAACATTTGTTTGAAAACTTCCGAAGAGAGAAAATTGGAAAATAAATTGAAGGATTAAAAACAAGTTTGTGGATTGAAAAGTTGATAATTCTCACCGCAAAAGTCACCAATAACGAAAAATTAAGCTCGCTTGTTTGCACGATCGAATGATTCCGAAAATTTGCAACGCATCCGTTGCTTGTTTGCTTTTTGTTGTCAGTGAAGAATGTTTCTCCACAAATAATCGATTTGTGTTATCAGAATTCGACGGATTTTTGCCTCTACAATTTTCTGAAGAAAATGCAATTAAATTGGCTTCCAGTTCATTCGATTGTCACACATTTGCGTGGCATGAATATATTTAAATGTGATTCTTTCATCATGCTTCATGCATACATTCAAAATTATAGGCTTATGTCCACTTGAAAGTCAATTTAAATAGAATTTGTCTCTTGTGGAAAACCCGATGGCATTTTCCTCTTACTCTCTGTTTCAATCTTCAATTCCATTAGTTTGAACTTCGAAGTAGTTTTTATCTCTAGGTATCTGTCAATCAGCATCAGATGCAAATAAACTCATTATTCGAATGATGTCTGACTGAGATCTCATCTATTCTCTTGTTGAAGCTTCTTCGTTCACATCGGAGATGACTGAACATTGTTGATGACTGCTGCAAAATGATGTCGACAGAAAAGTAACTTTTGAGAGATGTAAAATGAGTTTGCCTCTTAACTATTCAATTGTTTGTCACAATTTATGTTCAACTACTTATTTAGTTTATTTAAAACATTGACAAATATATTTACCGATGAACGTTATCATATTCGATAACATGGTGGGTGAAAATTTATATAATATTTGAACATTTGTAAATATTGTTTGACTTATTCGTCTGATGTTTCAGTTGTGATAACAATTATATTCGATATCCACTATTTGATTAAATGCCGCAACATAAATAGCGTAATTAATGAAAATTTAATTTAACTTTATCCATTAGTGCTTTCATTAAGCGCACATACATTCGACGCAATCATTTTGTGTTCATCTCATTTCGAGAAAAACTTTTTGCATCAGTGCTGTTGTCACATTCAGGAAATCAACTTCATTTCCTGAGCCATGTTTTTAATAAATGCGATATTGGCTGATTTTGTCTCGCTTCAGAAGCGATTCTTTATCAAGGCTGTGTACGGATGTTGCGTTGAATAAAAATTGGAAATCAATGAAGCAAACAATCATTACAAGAATGTTTTTGCTACTTTACATTGTGTTATCGAAACTTTGGAAATTCTCCCTTCATCTCACAACAATATTCTCATTCATTGGGGACACCTGATGTTTAATTAAATTTTTGGGAGAATATTCAGCAATATTAAAGTTTTTAATAAACGACGCGCAAAGCAGCCCCATATTGCTTTGTTCCGGTAAAGCAGAGAAACGGAAAGAAAGGAGAGGGAAAAGTGGCAAAATATTCATTTTCATTCCTGCCAACCTTTTATTTTTTAAACTAAAAAAATTATTTTGATGTGGAGCACAGTAGAATAAAATAGAATTAAACTCAACTTAACATACATGAAGCTTTAAATACTACATTTTTCTTAATTGCACCCTCTTGTCCATTTACTAAATAAAATTCGTTGGCTTTCACATTAGAAAATTTCAGGGTAAAATACTCATTGCGGTATTCAAAATGTCATGTTTTCATTTTATTTGTCAATGTGCAACACAGGATTTAGAAGAATATTCCATGTTGAGATTTCATTTTATTTTATTAACAAAATTGAATAAGTTTCCTTCATTAGGATGTTTCAAAGCTTTTTTAATTTAATGTCACGATAAAAAAAGAGCAAATGGCAGATTCAGTGGAGTAAAGTTATTTGTCATAAATTGTACATTGATTAAAGGAAAAAAGGTTTGATTCGATCAGCAGTGTAATCAATACTTGGCAAGTGAGCTTCACATTGATGTAACAAATTCTATTTCATTGCAAATGCTTCGCTATCCATCGCAAAACAAAATAAAGTTAAACAAGTTTTAAAATGGTTTACAAAAAAATTTAATTATACTCAACATTCGACACAAAGCAAAACTTCAAATAGTTTCATGAACCGTTGCACAAAAAAATGAAAGCATTTCAGTTCGCGTATGATTTTACAGTCTTTCCACTGCTTTGATCATGAAAAGGCTTTTTTTCGACTACATTCCCTTTGATTAAAGTGAGTGTAGTCATAAGGAGAGATTGTTTTTGAATTCAAAAGAAATCCTACTGCATTTAATTATTTTAAAAGTTTTTGCGAGCTTTCGTTGTGAAAGCTTAAAAATGTTTATGTTTGGCGATTTGCCTATGCCGCAAGGCGCTACAATCATATTAAAAAATGCAAAATTAAGTTACAAAAGTTCTTTCAATGCCTGTCCTACCTGTTTTACATAACAAACAAGACTTTGACAAAAGACATTACACTTGCATTGTCAGAATTCATCCCTCGCTTCTTTTTCTTCCTTCTCTCCTCATTTTAACATGTCTTGAAATGAAATGAAAATCTTAAAAGGCAAAAGAAAGAAGAAGAAAAAAACAAAATCTTTCCACACAATGTCTCTTCATTTCTCATTTTTCATCACCATCATCGCATAACTGTTTAAAAACTCCTTAATCTTCTTTAATTTTGCAAATAAAAATCCTTCTCGCATGTGATACCATTTTTTCCGTGATGTCATGTCGCTCTTTCTTAATTCACTTCGCGTTGAAAGCTTTGCCATAAAAAACGAGAAAATGATCATAAAAATGGAATGAAAAACTTTTTTGTGTCAACATTTCTATAGGAAAGAGTGCGGAAGTTGGTGGGCGTAAGCGTAATGCATTTGTAATACGTCGTGACATAGTTTCTTCACCTTTAAATCTTCATTGTGTTGTAAGCAATAAGATATTTTCCTTATCAACAGCAGCGACATTTACCTCATTTATAAACAGATTATTTCATGCGAAAATTCCTTAAGAAATTATAAACATAAAATTATAAATGTCCGGTTCTGTAAGTAGCTTTTGATCTTTGAATCTTAAATATTATTTTCTTAGGAATTTCATTTTTTTTTTTCTCTTCCTACCATTGAACGTAAAGAAAAAAGAAAGTTTCATGAGAAAGCTGAGTTTAAATGGAAAATTCTTATCCCACATAATCGAGTAAATTCTTCTAGTTTACTTTTGAATTAAGCACACGATGTAATGGCGTGAGTTATGAGGGAACAGCAAGGAAAGCAAAAATATATTTAAATGTGATTAGAGATGTGAACCAGCGTTAAAGAAAATTTATTTCTAAGGTGACGAGATAGAAAAAAAATGAGAATACAGCTTAATGTGCTTTTTATCGAGGCACATCACCTGAAATTTTCATCATTCTCTGTCGCGTTTGCTTTATCTACTAAGAAAAGATTTCTTTCTTTCCTTTTCTTGTTATTCATTCTGCTGAGCAGTTGTTGTTTAATTTTTCTTCTTTTCAATGTGTACTTGCATTAACGCTTGAGAACGAAAATGATAACAGAAGGGAAATTTGGGAGTGTTTCGCAAAAGCATCATGAGAGATAAAGGTCGCGAAACATTTCTTTTCTTATTATTTCGTTCTTTCTATTTCATGCTATTTTTTAGATTAATGCTTGAACACATACACGAAACAGTCGGGAAGAAGCCTGAAGTATGATGAAGCAAGAAGGAGGAAAACGAGAAAAAGCAGAAGCACATCATGTCCCAGCAACAAAAGGAAAAAAAACCGAAAAAGAAGAAGAAAATCAGAATCTACAAACAACGTGAAGCGTAATATAAATTTTTATCCGAAATGTCACGTTTCTGGCCCTCAACAATGTTTGAGCTAACAGAAGAAAAAGAAAAAAAATGCTCTTAAAAATTCTCTGCTTTTGCTTGAATACTTAAAAGCCATTCGTGAAAAATCCTTACCGAATCGTGACGTGTCTGGGTGCTACTTGTTTAGGATTTACTTAACAAATTGTCTGCAATCTTGCAATTCATCTCAACTTGTGATTGCTTCAGGAACGGTTAGTAAAGAGAGCGACGGGAACACTTCATTCAAAGTCTAGTTCAGTTGAGTGAAAATCTGCCTTGAAGGTAACTTTTTGATGTGTTTGAAAGCCCACTTGTGTCTGCTCCTCAGCAACGATTCGCTGCTTTTATCATCATCATCATGTTTGCTACAATGAAGGGATATAAAACTTTTTTTTTTCTTCCAATTTCCATTTTTGAGTCGAAAGTGTGAAGGGGAAAGTTGTAGACGGAAGAAAAGTAAAGTGAAGTTAAAATAAATTAATATTAAAATACGTTATTAATGTCTGCGCTCGCCATTGCGCTTATACTTGTGCAGATGAGAATTGAGAAAGTTGCCTTGCATAAATATCAAGGCGAAGCTTTTTAAGCGCACTTCACGAGTCATCAAGAAATTTTCCGATGTCAGAAACGATGGAACGAAACGTCGACGTCAAGAGCAATACGAGTGGATGGAATCAAACGTGCAAGAATTTAATCAGATTTTTTTCTTCCTTTTTACAAGATCGGATTTCTAATAACATGAATGCAAGGAAAGAAGAAAAAAGCGAGGAACAGAAATTTCTCATTCATGATTATTCAAATTAAATTAATGATTTTTCTCTTTCCTGCTTTTTTTTTTTGGTAACGGCTGTGAAGTTCAAATTGCTTAAATAAAATTTCTGAAATGAATTTTCTTTTTTTGATATTTGGAACATTTGAGAGCAGATTAAAATTTCTCTAAACTGTATTAGACTCGACATTTGAGACTTCTGTGTAGTTTATTTATTTAAGTGAAAGCTCACTGAGTTAATTATTTATCAGTAAGTACAAAAGATTGTTAAATGAAATTAAAAAAAAATTGTTGCTTTGCACGCTTCCATCACTCACATTTAATGAATGAAAATGATCCACAATTCTTCACAAGCACGCACAATCACTTCCTTATTTCATTTCATTTCATTAGTCTAAGCTTGTTCTCGAAAAAACTTGACGGTTTCGCCAACATTGCAACAAATCTTATCGTCTTTCACTCCCTCACATTCTTGCAAATCTTTCGTAATTCGGCATCAAATGTAATTACAACAATTTTCTCTTTTTTTTCTCTCCTCTTCGTGTTGATGAAAGATTGGCGTTTTGGGTCAGTGATGGACTGCTAAACGATAAAGAGAAAGACTTTCATGTTGCCTTTACATTATGCGAAGCTTGCGCGATTGTTGTTACATATTTCATTAGTGGGAAACAGAATAAGATTGATTGAATTCAGAAGTTTCCTCGAACGAGGGAAAAGTGAAAACGCAAAGTGGATTTAAGAAAAATCTGATGAAAAATTATTAAACGAAATATTTCCACACGTACCTTTATTTTATTTTTTGTTTACTTTCTAAAGGTTTTGGTCAGTGAGATTGATTTCCCGATTAAATTTCCCGGTTTCAAGAATAACCAACACAATAACTTGAAGTTTTCCACATCCCTTAACGCAATTATTTACACACTTTCTTGCCATCAGATCTTGAGTTTTCGGATTTTCTCCCTCGACAGAGAATAAAAAAAAACAAGAAACTTAGAATTGACGAGAGGAAAGAAATAGGCATTCACATAAAAAAGTTTTTAATTCTTTTTGTAGAAAGCAAAATACTTTAAGGGTGACCACGTCAAGCCATCAAATGCTTTGAGTCATGTTCAACATTAAATTCTTCTGGTCACCTGACTAAAACGATCTTCGATTTGTTTCTTTTCGTTTTATTTGCAACTCGATTTGAAGAATTTGATTATCTTTCGGAAGTTTATGCTGGTAGATTTTTAATGGTCTTAATGGTTGTTTGTAGCTGTAAATGTGCGCACATAGACGAGAAAGTCAATAAAAAAAATCCTAAATTCAATAGAAATTGTTGTGTTAATTGTTTGTGAGACAAGAAAAAAGGGAAGAAGAAGACGAATCACTTCACATCGTATTGATTGTCCCTTGGCATCACGGTATTGTTTGTGCCTTTCATTATTTTCACTAAGATTTAATGATACGGCAACAGCAACGTGTCAAAAAGTCTTTTGCAATGTTTGCAGAATTTTTTGTTTGTTTTCTTCTTCGATTTCTTTACTTATTAGAAGAAGCAAAATCCTCGAATCATCGATAAACAATTCTTGCGACTTAAAAAAGAAAATTCAAGATTTCCTTCCAGACAATCAACCAATTGATTCACTTTGTAAGCTCATTTGTTCATTCTAAGCTCATACTCATTAGAGTTGATTTCATTTTGAGGTTTACCGACTACATAATCAATCGAGTGAAAGCAAGAAATTTTGTTATCAAGAGACAAAGAAAATTCCAACACATTGTCGTCACTCACAAGATTGTCCACTTTTCTAAATGTAAAAATGAAATTTCAATTTTAACTTCCATGACCTTGTACTCAAATTGAATTCAAATTAATAAGCTTTCTGGTTTATCCGAATAAATTACATTACATGTTGACGTTTATGTTTCAAGCTATGTTTATGATTATGTCAACTTATAAATAATCTTCATGTAAATAAATGTAGGAATACGAAGAGATTTGATTTTCAAATTCTCCGATAGTTACTTAATAAAGTAAGTTGTCTACTACTGTGAATATATTCAGTGATCATGTTGTCTTCACTCCCTTACTTAATGTGATTCTTAAACTCGTAAAGGTACTTAAAATCCTTTTCTTTATAGCGAGATAAAAAATCAATGCTTGAAGAACTTAGTTGTATCATCATAAGAAGCGTAATCATAATAAGAATGAATCTTTATTTACATTCTTCGTACTCATCTCATCTTCGAACACAAATGATAAGCTTCCGACTCAATACATGTCCTTATGTAGACTCACGCATATTTGATAATGGAAAAAAATTGAATATTACACCATGAAGATTTTCACATGTTAGAATGACAAAAAAATTGAAGGGAAAATTGAAAAAGGATTTTCGTTGTATGGTCTTTGAAAGTGAAGAAGAGTTGGGGACGTGCCATTGGCATGGCTTGTGATCGAAGGCATACAAGCACCGTTGTCGCATAAAATATAAAAAATAATGCAAAATAATAATAACATGAATTCACCCTTGAATACTTATGAGCGAGGTCTCGTATCCCATTTCGATAGGCTATCCAATGTCACAACGATTTGACAGCAAACGACAGAATGAGCAGAGTTAGTGAAAAGAGAAATCCGTTGAGTACATAACATTATATTTTAATATACATTCACATGTATGCAGAATGCTTACTTAGATATGTACATATTTTCCTTTGAATTTCCCTCAAACATTGAGGAAATCTTCAACTTTTAACATTCTAAGGAAAATCTTTAAACATCAATTTCCCTTTTCCTTTGAGATCTTCTTTTTATGTAAATTAATTAATTAATTGCTCAAAACTCTCTAGGTTTGAAATTTATTTAAATTTCTCATATTTTCGATGGTGGTTCGAATAGAAATTTTGAAGATATTTTTTCTACTCCACTCTGAATGATTTGAAAATTTCTCGGAATCGAATTTTGAGAATAAATTTTAGGTTAAAAATTATTCAAATTTTAATTAAAATTCTTCAATTCGAACCAACATCTTATTTACTAAAACATTTGGACCCATCAAGATGATGCTTTTAAAATTGTGATGTGTCGGCAATTTTCCATCCTTCCTATCTTACAGCAAAAGGGCATTCAGCATATCACTCATATACGCACAAACACACACGAAAACAGGCTTGAAAAAAATTATGAAAATCCGCTTTTCGAGGATGTCGTTTGAGGAAATTTGAGAAGGGTATGAAGCTTTTCTTTTCCGTCTTATATTCGCTTCCACAACGTTTTTTTTTTTTTGCGTGCCATCACATCGAATTGTGGGGAAAGGAAAGTGACAAAGGAGCGGCATAAAAAAGCAACGCTGGTATGCTATCAATCAATTTACATGATAAAAGAATGTTTAAAAGAGATTTGACCCATTCTTTTCCACTCAATCGATATAATGTAGTGATTGAATGACGATTAATGCCGAATAAATATCTTTGAATGTCAATGCTCCTTCCCTCCCTCTCCACGCCATTTTTCCTCACGACTTTTACGATGTTCATTTGATGTAAAGTGAGATAAAGAGAAGGAGAAGGAATCCTAAGTGGAGTTCATTTTCCTGTTTCCGCTTTTAAGCGTGGGTGAAACTCAATCGATCAAAGACTCACTTTGAATGAAAGACAAAATAAAGTAAAAAAATAGAAAAAAAGGAGGAAAAGCAAAGGAAACGATTGAAAATCAAATAAGCTGATATGAGAGACGATGAATACCTTTGCACTAAGATAAACATTCAATAAAATGGTGATAAGAGAAGTCAAAGTATCCTCCCATGACGATGACAACGTCAACAACAACAACAACAACATCATTGAATGTAAGCTATGCAAGCTGGCATATTGTGTTGCTGATTTTATTTACTTTTCTTGATGACAAATTGAATTTAAATTAAAATCTCTCGCTTTAACTGCAGAAGGCTTGCGAAAGATTACCGTCAGCAATGGAGTATCTGCAGGATTAAAAAGGGTTTGTTTGTGTTCATTCGCTTCCTTTTTTTTTGAGTGATTTATGAGTTTTTAAAGTATTTCTTTTTATGTTTTATCCACTCCTTTGAAATCACATGAACCAATTTGATTGCCATAAACATTGGCATAAGATATAATCTTATCGGTGAAGGAAGCGTGATAAATTTGGAAAAGGGTTTCTTCTTTGACTGAACTCTGACATGTTCTAAGATGTTCCAAAAAGTTGAAGATATTTCTCTTTCAGATATCTATGCACAGTATCTTGAAATATTGATGACATTTAATGTCGCTTGTTATCGTAGCATAAAATTTTCTAAATATACTTTAGTGCTCACTCTTGCGTGTTGTAGATTTCATATCAATCAGAATAATTTGAGAACTTTTTGAACTTCATTTTGCAATTTTCATTGAAGCTGATGTTAAAGGAATGCTTGACAATAAGACGGCAATAATGGAAGTGAAACTTCAACAGACACCTCATAACAGAATTTGAAGCTCGTGTTGTGTTGAAGAGTTTTACAATGAAAATCCATAATTTGAATTTATGCCAACTCAGACGAATACTATTGAGAGTTCAAATGTTGAATTCAATCAAGATGACTGCATGGAATCACAAGAGTAGAGATGAAAACTGAAGATGCTTCATAAGTGATTGAATTTTTATGTTGAGACTTTTCATTTCTTCTTCAATCGAAGCTTTTACATTTATAATTCATTTGAAGTTTTGAAGCATCTTTTTACTTAAAAGCGAAAATGAGAAAGAAAAAGCTTTAAAGTTGAAGTTCAGTCGATGACTTCAAATTCAATAAGAAAAGGCTTGCATAATCAATAAAAAATATTGTAACGATGATGAGGAATTTTTTTTGCAAACATTGCCAAACATCTAAAGGATAAACATGATATATAGACATTTAATTTAAAACTTTTTTTTTTGCTGCAGTCAAGCGATTCATTCCATGGCAGTGTCAAGAGTTATAATGAAATTTTCAAACAAAAATTTTACACTGTTTGATTTTGCTTTCATTTCGCTTTTTCCCAATTTTGCGCTTCCTCTGACAATGGTGTTTGATAAACTAATTGCTATCATCGTTTGTAACTGAGTGTTCATGTAAATTGAAATTTCAATTAACTTAGCATTCCATTATGCTGATGATGTTATTGATTTTGCAATTTTCGAGGCGGGTACTTGCAAGCGACTACTTACACAATCTCTTTGTTGATGCTTTATCTGTCATCAGGGCTATTTATAATCTAATCACGACTAACTGAAACATAAAATCTGAAACAAGAGAACAAGAGAACCATCTGTTGTGCTGCCATATAAATTGTGCTGTCATACACATAAATGAAAGAACTTTAAGTTTTATTTTTCTTAGAATTTTTTTTATTATATTTTTGAACAGTGTCCATATTTATTTAAATCTTTATGGTTTTCACATCGCCTCTTCTCATTTCATCAAAGTGTTTTTTAGATTATAATTTTCCCACATCACACACCATTACGCCGGGGGGCACGTTGTGATCTTCGCTTTTCTAAATTATTTTTCGATTTATTTTTCATGATTTCATGTTTAATGTGTTTTGCATCTCATTTTTTATTTCTTCTTCTTATCATTGTTTTCTTCTTCTTTTTCTTATTCTTTTTCTTTATATATTCGAATCAAGTTAAATTAAACATTAAAATGAATATATGGATAAATTACAAAAAGAGAAATTAAATTTAAGTTGATATAGATTTAACTTTGTTTTTCTTTTATTTATTTATTTTTTTTCTTTTTTTTGAATATGAAGTTTAATGAATTTCAAAAAATTATTAATTCTCGTGTGAATTTATGTAAGTGTAGATAATACTTTTATATTTAATTTAAATATTTAACGATGTATTCATTCCATTGAATTCATTTTCTGAATCATATTTACAGTTTAATGAATGAATTCTTTTTTTTAAGGGTGAAACAAGTAACGTATAAAAGTTGAGAGACTAATTAAAATTTAATATTTATTTCTTTTTTTTTGTTTACTCATGAATCTAAAGAGATATCCAAGGAGTTGTCAAACATCTTGATAATGAATCTCTTACAATGTCATAAAAAAAGTTTATTAAATAAATTAACAAACTTTCTTTATGATTCTTTTTT